GTCTCTATGTGTAAGAGTATTACAAACACAATATTATTCATTTATGTAAAACCAACTTCCATAGTTCAACATTTCTTTATACGATTTTGGACAGTAGTGCAAATAAAAGGATGTTAATATCGTATGAAAAATGAATCAGATAACTCCGAAATAATATTTTCTCTAGCCAAATTAAATTACCATATGCTTGATGACGTGTATAAAACGTTTTAATAACCAATGGGAACAAGGACGAGATGAAATCTTTGAATGAAAGATCTAGTTAGTTCTCGCCGGAAACGTGTCGGAACATACCATTACCAAGTTCAATTTGGTGTTTTTTTTTTCTTTTTTGCATAATGATGACCACTCACTTAAATATACTAACTTTATGTATAATAAATGACTAAGTACCTATTTCAGGCAAAATAAAAATAGTTGACATCGCACCGATAATTAATTAACTTTTTCGAGGCGTGAAATTCATCATACATTCAAACTCTTATCTTTCATTTCTCATTCTCTATTTGTATTTCCCGAAATTGAAAAATGTATCCATCTTATGATACCGAATCACATTAACTAACAACGTGTTTATCAGTTTAAAGTTTAAACACATGTCGGCTTCAACGATTGCCTTTGCTTTTTGTTCAATTATTCTTGTTACTTTGATTTTACTTAAGTATTTGTGTTTGTGTGTATATATATTGTCCCAGCTGGTAAAATGTTAAAAATAATGAAAAATAACTAAAATGGGACAACAATTATTAATTGTTCAACAACTTACTAAACCGGTCCAGTAAACGCGCCCTTAGTTTATAGCTCCCTGATTAATGAGCTAGTGTCCCATTGTAACTTTGTAAGCATCTCATCGTGATCACCAGACCCATTTTCAAAAATATATATAAAAATTTCATGAAAAGGACTACTATTTTCATAAATTTAAAAACCTTACACGAATGAAAAAGTAAGATAAAAATATACATATAAGAAAAAGGTATAAATGTGAGAAACAGCTCAGAGTCACCTGACTTTTCCGATAGTTTTGTATCAATACAAATTTATATTTTCCTAATCAGAACACGTATGTATAATTTACGGTCGAAACTAGCATTACAATTGCTCTTTTGTATAATGCGACTTAAATTACTGATAAAAAATAAATAATTTGATGGTAAATATATTGTAATTGTCCACCTAATATTTCTTGTTTGTTATAGTTACATGTAAAAACCCATCATTTTGTTGCTGGAAGTCCTGTATTTTATATGTTCTCAACTTTAAATTGTTCTGTTTTTCATATGAATGTTCAGAGTTGCTTCGTTCTCTCACTTTTTGACGTTCATAATTTATAGGTTTTTAATAATTAATTATTTAGCGACAGACTTTTGACCATTTGAACAATGCTCTTGTACGATTTGAACGACCGGAATACCAAATATATGTATGTTTAGTTTGATATTCATTGATCAAAGGTCGAATTAGTCAAACTATGGTCAGAATTAATAGCTTGCCATAAAATCTTCTTCAGCTTGAGATACATTTTTTCAAACCACATCACTATAGTATGGATATTTTTCCGTTTCTTCAATATTTCTCTAATATCGACTTCAAAATTATCAGAAAAAAAGTTAGCAAACAAAAATCTATAAAATATGATGCAATCACATGATTTCACACAATTTTAAGAAATAAAACTCTTTTATTTTGACTACCACAGTTAAATTTATTTCATTCAAAAATATATATATATATATATATATATATATACACATATTTCTTATAAACACTTTTGAAATATTTATCAGTTTACTAATCAAGTAATTAGTACTGACAATCTTGTATACTTAAGCTGGTGTACGTGATATAAGAAATCTATAATGATTATAAGAAAATTTAGTTGTTTTCCAATATGAAATTTTGAGACACAACCAAAAATTCCTTTACATATATAGATCCAACAAGATGAATTTTTTTTCTTCTTCTCGTAAGTCTCTCTCTATTTCTTCCATTTAGAAGTTCCAGTACCATTGCAAATGGTTCCATATTAGTAAGTAAATAACAAAAGCTCGACCAAAATTAACAAGGAACACCGAAGGCTTAATAGGGTCCTTATATTTTCTTAAGATGCAACAAAAATGGGTCCATATGTATATATCTTCCGACACGAACTTGCTTTGATCTGATTCTTTGATGCGCTTTGTGACCTTTAAGCTTAACATTACCAAGTAAAGACAAGTTGCTGTATAATTCCAAAAGGAGTGCAAATCCCAAAGCATATACTTATCCTTAATTAATTAATTGATCTTCCACAATATGTTTCCTTTGTACGTTTAATTAATTAAAAAGTAGACATTGAGATTATTTACATTGGAGACATGATCTCCATTGTCCACAATTTACAGATTGTGTTAGATTATGTATAATGTTTTTACAGATTGTTTCAAAATTTAATCGTCACGAATGATCCAAATTTTGAGAAATAAATGATTAGGGATGCAAGAGAAGAATGAGCACGTGAAAACCCAAACGCATATATGTCCCACGACCCACAGTGTCATATATTATTTGTGTCTGCAAAATATATTTATACAAAATTAATAGGCACGATGTGAATTTCCATGGAGTGGGTTTTATAGTATTACCAATGACAACAATAAATTTGGGTACAATTGAAATTGAGTGACAACTAACGTGACGTTCACGTTGTTCCGATCCTCAAGAATTTCCTAGGAGAGACACTCTCTGGACCAATTCGCTTCACCTCCTCCATAACGTAGGACCCTTCTTCAACCCATCCACTTTCAATTTTACATTACTTCCTTTGTCTCTTCCTCCTTTCTAAATAAAAACAAAAACAGCTCGATAGTTTTCATCGTGACAAAATATTCAAATGTTATCCAATTATATATGTCGTACATTTGACTCGGATGACAATAGTATTGATACCGTTGAATAAATTCGATCTTTCATTTAATTGGTCATTGTTTTGGTTGAAGTCAAAAGTTAATTACATTATATTATTATTAGACACAAATCTTTCATTTTGTTTATTTTGCCATTGTTAATATGAGAATTACAAATCCTAGAGGGTAATCTAATTTTTTTTTTTGGGACAAAGAGAATATAATCTAAATTATTACTATATATTAATACTGCAGTCTCAAAAACATTAACATATATATGTTTGATAAAATTCATCATTTGCGTCTATTTGTGTAACAAACGTTAGGTCTCGAGATTTATTTGAGATTTAAATTATCTTATATATGGTCCAAAAGAAAACATGTGAGGTTTTAATTAATGTCCGTACAAGTTGGAGAAAACGAAAACACGCAAAATGTACACGGAATGATAATGATTCAACTAATTATAATAACCGCGATTTCTTGGAAGCTTACATGTTTGTGTAGTGATTAGGCTTTGATGTGTCCCTCTTGTGTGTTATTAACAAGTTGCATACTTGGTCTATACCTATATTATCGAAGTCAATGAAAATTACGTACACATAATGTGTCGTCAACTAAATCCGAATATTATCCATAAGATCAAAGACAACATGTATGCCAAAACTATATAATAAAGTCTAATGTTTATTATTAACAAAAAAATATAAAGTCTTATCACAACATTTTTTTTGTTACCGCTTCTAACCGCCCTGGTTTGTATTTTACTACCCAAATTTTCTTTTTTGGCACCAATCAAATTTTATATGTTTGCATGCATATAAAAAATATAATAGTTCTTCTATGTGACATAAACTTCTCTACGATTGTTAAAATATTGGAAACTTTCCCGTGGAGGATGATGTATATCAAATTGGGACATAGAGAAATTAATTGACTGAACAATGAAGTTTCAAATGTCAACAAAGATATTAATGGTGTACAGCAATGTGTGAGGAAATATTTAGTTGGAGAAAGAGAGTTTAATTTATGGGAGACGTTACGTAGATGCGTGCGTGGGGGCTTGTCTACGTATGGGAGTGATAGATTGAAACCGATCTATGTATAACATAATTATTAAATTAAATGTCATTTTTCATTTCTTGAATTAAATTTCGTTGTAGATTTGCAATGTAAATTTTAACACAAAATATTTAATTTCATCTGAAATCATAAGTTCATAACCAATATAAAATAGAATAGAATACCAAACTTTAGTTTTTTTTTGTATGGAATGTTTTGACGACATATTTTTCAATATGTGTAAAAATGTATATTTGCACTTATAATTTCTGAAAACACTAATAAATTTTTAACCCAAAGTAAAAGAAAACAATCTAATTCCGCCCCTAGGAAGGCTGAATTATTATGATAGTAGTAGTAATAAACAGAGACTCAACATCACAATGAATGTTAGGTTTAAAGATGTTGTAGCATTTAGATTTGGGCTAATATTTGGGCTCCACTCCTTAATGTATACAACTCCAATATTTGTTTTGATCCCTTTCAATTGTTTTCATATCATTCATAACCCATTCCCTCATGTTTCTAAATTGAAGGTGATTGACAATCTTATTATTAATCATAGACTGTCAAATTAAATTCAAACAAGTAGAAAAGATCATCCAAATCCATTTAAGAAATTTTCTTTGATGATATTGTTTTCAAGGATTAATATATTTCGCCTAAAATCCTCCAGCAAACAAAAATGGTAATTAAAAAAAAAAAAAAAAAAACACTACATTTTATGATCAAGATCCTAAAGGCTGAACTGAAAGCTTATCTGAATCATATCCATAAGTTAATGGGCCATAGTATTGCATGCATCTGTAGCCCATAAATGTTAGTTTTTCAATCTATAGGCCCAAGAAACAAACTCGTTTTTCAAGAGTCCAGGTAAAAACAATTGGTTTACCGGTAACTTTTGTTTTGTGTTATCACAAATCCAAAAAGAAAACAAATATAAAGTATAAACAATGAAATTGTTGAAGAAAATTTTATGTTATTATTACTTATCAAATATAATGTGTACGCTGCTAAGTTGATCGTTATGCAAAACACATGTTTCTAACAATTAACAAAGATACTTATTTACTTGATGTTTTGTTTGTAAATGGATGAGTACAAATTTCAAACGACCCGGTTCATTCATTCTGACAACACCTGAGAAAGCTTCAAAGCAATGTATCTGATTCATCATCATTGAGGAGAAGAAGAAGGAGTAGGAGGAGCTCTGTAAATGGCAGGAATAGTTCGAGGGAAGAACATTTGCCTCACACCTTCTGCTTTTATTATTGGAAATATTATCCCTGAAGCACTCTGTTTCATAACACAAGAAGAAAAAAGAGATTTAAGATTTTACTCAGAAATTAGTATTTTCAAGAGTTATAACGAAAACGATGACATACCGAGATTAGTCTCGCTCCGAGCCATAACCGTTTGACGGAAGGGAGAGGTACAAGCAAACGACCAACCCCGAAAATCGCAACTGCGAAGAAATGAAGAACAAGGCTCATAGGTCGCGGGTTCAAACCTGAGAGCAAAGCCACTGGTCCTGACGAGCAAACCCCTCCAAGGCTAAGATAATCGAAGCAAGCTCGACGCATTTCGCTTCTCGCATCGTCTGGAGAAGCCAAAAAGACTTTGTAAAGAGCTCCTGCGAGCGTATTGATAGTGGAAGCAACCGGTTTCCGCAATGTGTAGAACGATTCGATGTATTTGGATAAGGACTCTTTATTGGTTAAGTCGACAAGCGGGTTTAATAGATCGCGGAGGATAACTATATCAGACAATGCGACAGTCATACCGCCTCCGGTAAGAGGATGCCGCATGTTGAATGCGTCACCTAAAAGCAGAGCTCCGGGTGTATGAATTGGATCAGCTGGCATGCTTCGGTTAGGCATTGTTCTTATGTTACCTTTTTCGACAGCAGAAATGAACGCATCGCGGATTTGAGGCGGTACCTGGGGTGCAACTGTTGTTTTGAGATGGTGAGCCATTTCGCCGCTTGCGACTGAAGGAAGTTTTGAACCTGGAACATCAACCAAGCAACGGACTTCTGAGCTGCTGATAGGATAGAATAAAATGGGTGACGGGTCGCCAAGAACAACATGTCCGTGGTTCGGAAATGGGAGTTCGCAATTCTCCAACACCAGACCCACGAAATTGGATGGCACCTCCACCTGATTAAACAGTGTTATTGATCGAGTTAAGTCTCAAAAAACAGATGAGAGAAGCTTATCAAAAACAAAGCAAATCCAGATAAATCTATCCAATCTCCGAGACCAAATCAATCCTAAAATGACGAATTCGAATTCCAACAACCATGTCACACACCTTAGGTTTGCAGAGAGATCTACGCAAGTTGGAGAAACAACCATCACATACAATAGTGAGAGGAGCAAATGATTTAAGCTCTTGGCCATCTTTGGTTTTGTATTGAACACCTTTGATTATTCCGTTTTCTTCCACCAACGATGTCACTGTTCCTTGCTCCATTCGAACACTGAAATCAAACATCGAAAACTCAAACCACATTCTACATCACTAACCACTAGGAAACTACAACATGTTAGCTTTCCAAATCCATCAAAAATCGAAATGCTTACTTGGGAAGTGAAGAAGCTTTCTCTCGCATCCGCTGCACAAATCTCCCATTGTGAAAGCTACGACCCGCAACATCGGAATCAAACTGATCCAAAGGGTAAGAGAGTTTAGTGTGCTTCCCATCTTTAAAGAGAGCATAACCAAGAACTCTCTGCGCATCGATCTCCTTCACACAATCTACAATCAACAAGTAGCAACCAAATCAGTACACACAAGTCAGATTACTAATCCAACAAAAGATATGAACTTTCTGGTTTACCTTCAAGCCCGAGTTCGATTAACTTCAAGTAACCACCAGGCTGAAGCAATTCACCGACGATTCGGTCAGGTTCGGTTAAGTCTCTTTCAATAACGTGAACTCTTCTTCCTTCCTACAACCACACACACACAAAAGCTAAAGACATTAAAATTTGATTCCGTGACGGCAAGGAGTAACCACAAAATAGCAACAAGCAAAAACCCATTTACCCGTGAATTAAGAATCACGAGAGTTTTCAAGATGTTGAATAAAATATATTAAGGCGAAAGTTAGCAACTTTATCCTCTAAAAATCAATCTCTGGGATGATAGTCCATTGAGAAACCTAATAACTTGTGTTGCAAGAATTTGATTGAGCTAGACGACTACTAAATTAAATAAACAATTCGAGAAGATTCTAACCCAAAATTCAATAAAGATAAACAATTTTAGATGATTACAAGAAACAGAAGAGACATTAAATAACGACGAAAGCAAAATCAAAATTATGTAAAAGTGAAATTTGAATTAAGACGAAAAGATCTTACCTTGCCGAGAGTATGAGCGAGAGCAGCGCCGGCGACGCCAGCACCGACAATGATAATATCGACGTCTGTTCCAGATTTCACCGTTAGGGTTCCGTTACGGACATTAACAGACCCAATAATCTTCTTGCTCCGACGACGCAAGATGTATAGAAGCAGAAACGCGAACAAGGAAGCGAAAAACGTTGTTGTGAGAATAAAGTAATCAACGACAATCCTCGGAGCCATTAGTGGTACGTTTTTTGATTAATCCTCCGCCGCAATCCAGCGGCCAATGCCGGTGGTTTTACAAATTGACGCGTGGATATGGAAAGGAGAAGAGAAAGAAGAAGATGATTGTTACAATTTTTATTTGGAAGAGAAAATATTATTGTGGCTATGAATCGAACTCGTGGCTTGTTTCTCTGTTACGCAAAATTTCATTAAAACGTTTGGGGAAGTTAGGAGAATGAAATTAAATAAGGTCGGTCGTTTTATTTTTTCCTAAATATTTATAATGTGACAAAACTATTACAAGTTCTGATCAAATTAGAAATCTTATAGAGATTTTGTCATAAGCAACATAATTGGAAGAAGTTTGAGGCATGCGTGGAAGAATATCGCCTTGGTATTTTGGTATAACAAACAAAAACCACATTTTCGACGCAGTTAATGTGCCATTAATTTGAAGAAAATATCAAAGCCCAAAAATATGAGTTCATGTGGACTACAATGTTTTGAACCCTACAACAATCAGACACCACAGAATTAGATTGGATTTATGACACGTGAATTTTGAAATTAAACTTGGGCCATGGCCCAATAGATTACGTATGCTTGCGGGTTTAAAACCAACTCTTCAACACGTGTGAAAAACATGATAAAACCAATGTCCTTCCGAATAAGATAAGATTGGGCCAGATTTGTGATTATACTCGTCCAAGGCCCAATAATATCTTCCACGTCCGAGTTTCTGCAGAACTCTTCCACACGTGCGAAGGACATTATTATGTTTAAAGATCAAAGGTTTCAACTTTGAACTACTCACTTCATTTACCCCACGTATGGGTTACGGTAAATTTGCTGCCCCATAATTATATCATAGTAAGTGGCTCTTAAAAGTTTCCAAGCAATAAATTCTCCAATTTTTAGATAAAAAAAATAATCCCTAAATATCATATGGAGGAGGGAATATTTTAAAAATTTTGGTGAAACTTTAGGGAAAAGCTGATACGGGTGGGGTGTGAAAAAGAGACAAAAGGAGGGAATTTAGAAATGAGGTGGTGAAGGTATGTTGGATTGTTGTGGAACGATATGGTCAATAAAGCATATCGCATTATTGGAGAGACATTACATATTTACCATTATTCATCTTATTATTTCTGTGTACTTAAAAGAACAATGTATCAAAAAGTAAAATAAAGTGACAAGAAACCTCATTATTAGATATGGGTCATTTCAACTCCATGCACATTCTCTTTACATAGTTTCTTACCATTTCTTGATCAGAGATTAACATTCTAATCAATTGCCAAAACTATCATATCAATTATTAAATGTTCATGTTTTGTCAATAACCATATTTGTTACCAAGTTTAAAATGTAACGAAGAACGAAGGAATAGCAAAGGAGATTCATTAAAATAATATGTTAAAGAGAGATTCATTCTGTTTCACATGAATACTACTCAAAAGAAACATATACCGCTCCTAAGCAAATACTATTATACCGATTAACTAAACCGAATTTTAATTCAAACCGGATAAAACCGGAGATAAACCGAAACATTTGGCAACTAAACCAAGAAACCCAGAGTTAGTGATTGATGTCGATCAAGAATCAGCCCAAGCAGCGAAAACCGGCATCTGAGGCATAGTAAGAGCAACGGTCTTAAGCTCAGCAGTAGGGTTTGAAGTCCAGGAACTCATATTTCCGACCACATTTGATCCGAACATCTTCTGATTAACTTGAGGCAACGCGAAAATCGCCGGAAAACTCAAAAGTCTCTCTGGAGTACTGACTTCTTTGTTGGAACCACCCTCCACAACAGCGTTAAGAGCGGTTTGGTCTTCATTATTCCTGACTACGATGCTGTTGTTGTTCCTTCTTGCTAACTCTCCAGACAAGAGTGTGTTACTAGACATGATTCGATCAACATCGTACCTCGTGATATCAAAGTTAGTCACAGCGTTTGTGCCACGGAACTTGATTGCTGCTACATCATAGGCTTCTGCAGCTTCTTCTTGAGTTCCTAAAAGAGTTAAAAACGATTCCGTGAGACACAAGCAATTGAAAATGCTATTTTTTAACAATCAAAATCATCGGCATGATGAATTAATACCAAAAGTTCCGAGGTAGAGATCTTTGTTTCCGGCGACTCTACCAATCCGTGCTTGCCACCTTCCATGCTGGTGATGTCTATTACGTAGAACACACAAAGTCAATACTCACATTTTTAAACTATATATTATATAAAGTTATATAAATGTAATTTAAAGGACCTTGTGACTCCTCTATAGATGGAAGCACCCCTAGAGAAACCGCTGCTCTTCCTTCTCAAATGTGCAACATATTCTTGTCTAGTCATGTTCTTCATGTCTTCAATCTCTTTCTGATAATTCTCCGCCTTTAAAAATCCATTTAACACATTATATAAATAAATCATACAACAAGGTCAAAGAGATAAAAAGTTAGGAAACAAAAATTAAAAAGGAAGAGAAAAAATGATTTACAGAGAAATTGGTGTGAGTAGAGGGACCCCAGTACTTGAGTGCAGCAAGATCATATGCTCGAGCAGCTTTCTCCTCCATATCATAACCTCCTAAAAAAGATTTAATCAAACAACAACAAAAATAAAGCAGTCAAAATCCATCATTATTTTCCCGAGAAATTTGAGGGGGAAATCATGAATCCATGAAGATTGAAGTGTGTACTTACCCAGATAAACTGAGAAGAAGATCATCAAATCATAATCACATAGAGAAAAAATAAATCAATGTCAGTAATACGTTAAAAAAATAATCTATATAAAAAAGTTTCTATCTTTAGCTTAAAAAATAATTAAATAAAAAAGCATTAGACCTTGTCTTCCTTTTCTGCTGTGACCTTCCTTCTTGAAACTATTGTCCCATAGATGAGCTTCATATCTACCAGTCCATCTATGTCTGTTTCACATAACCTTTAAGTTAGTATATGTAACATTACTAACAAAAGTCAAATAAAATAAATATTATAAAATAAAGAACCTTGTAACGCCTCGGTATTGAGAAGTTCGTTGTCCAAAAGTATCGATGGATTTTCTATGAACAATCTGTTTCTGACCAACAACTACAACTTCCTCTTGTCCCCTCTTCTTCTTCGCAGCCGCCATTGTCGTCGTCTCGAACCCAGCACTTGTCTCCACAAGAGCTTCAGAGATTTGGTGGTGGTTTTGGTTTTGGGTTTGGTGGTTTTGGTTTTGTTGGTGGTGGTGAGAGCCAGTGATGCAGCTAGATTGTGACCCAGGGCTCATGGATAAGCTCAGTGACTGTTGAAATTCCCCATATACCCCTACATTAAAAGACCCTCCATTCGTCAAACTAGGGTCATTCTCGTAATTTCTTGTTTCTTCTTGATGGTGGTTTCTGGTTTGAGGGAAGCTAAAAAACTCTTGAAAGTTTGTAGTTGTGTTGGGCTCATGAGTGGTGTTGTAGAATAAACTATCTAAGCTAAGGTCCATGGCTTCTTTGTGACTTGTGTTGTTGTGATGGGTCCCAAAAAAATCCTCCATCTTTGGAGATGAATCTAAAAAACAACCAAAAAAACCAGAAAATGTCCTTAGTATATAAAAATAAAACATAAATCCTTAAAACCAAACATGTTCCCATCAAACAAGACACAACAACATCAACACCAAGAAAACTAAAAAACTCCAACATTTATACTAAGACTAACCTTGATGATGATTTGAGTGAGAAGATCTGTTGAGAGCTTCCATTAAGCAAAGAGAACCGTCAGATCTGAGTGGCATCACAGACATGTGAGAATAGATTTCTCCAGCTGAGTTAGATCCATAGCAAACACCAAAGTTGCTAGTGTTGTCACCAACAACAAGTTGTGGTGGAACAGAAGAAGAAGAAGTTGCAGCTGAAGAAGTTGTAGATGAGTAAATAGCTTCTCCACCTCCTCTTCCTCCCATTTTCATCATATTTGAAGACAATGAGAAACCTAGTAAATTAGTCGTATTGCTATGATTATTATCATCATTATCACAAAAAGACTTCATGTTTTTTTTTCACTGCTTCTCTTCTTTCTATAATGTATTCACTCTCTCTTTCTTTTAATCTCTCGAAGTAGTAAGCTAAAACCCAATCATTGGACACACAACGAACACACCATTTTTCTCAAAGTTTTGTTTTTTCTTTGTTACGGTAGAGAAACAAGGAACGGGCTTTAGGAGGATATAGAGAGGGTTTTTGAGAGGATGTTATAATAAGAGAGAAGAGCAAAGCACAAATTTGCTGTTTGAATCCGTCGGGATCTGTGTTCTTATTGAGAAAGACGTTTCTTTACTTTTATTTTGTTTTATTTTTGTTTTCGCTTTTAGCCCTACAAATTCCCCATCTTCCACCTTATTATTATTTTATTTTTGTAAAGTCTTTGGAAACATTTCAAACGTAGAACTATATGGCTAAGAGATTGTGTTACAATACAACTAATGACAGCAGAAACACACTTTGGTAACGATTGGACAAATTATTTTATCTGAATGAGAATTCTTTTGAAAGATATCAGAAAATATAGTAAAAGTTTTTAAGTGGTTATACATATTTAAAAATCATTTAACGATAGTTATGTTTATTTCTGTCGTTTCTCTTGTTTATTATGTATTTGATTTGTTCTACATCGACCATTCTATTGCAATCATTCATAACTTTTCAGCTATCATTAAACTCTTGAACACATATATTTAAGATTCTTTAGGAATTGAAAACCTTGGTTTAAAACAACAGAAAATTCGGGATTATTAACCTATATTTATAAAAGAATTTGGAGAGTGGTTCAATTATAAAGATACTGGGAAAAAAGAAAAAACCTAATAATAAACCCATACGAGTTGGTACGATGGTGGTAGGACACTCGAACGCACTCTCGAAACATTTTTGTAAATTAGATACCATCAAACTTTAACCTTGTGTATGACTCATTTCTTAAAACAACATCTTTAAATTAATATTTTTATTAATCGTGAATTTAAGTTTCATTAATAGAAATGAAAAAGATACGAATACAGATATATAATCCGACAAAAACTATACAGAAGTTCATAAAAAGGTGAAGTAAAGTCCAAAATTTCTTATGACCGACCGTAGAAATTACGACGAAACTTTTGGTCACGGCTCTAAATGACCCGACATATATAGCTCTGTATCCTTTGAATTCATCTTTTTATTTCATTATCTTCCAAAATATTAAACCAAGTGGGTCGCTACTCGTATTTATATTTGATTTCCAATACATGCATCTAACATTATTTGTATACACGATGTTGTCTCTATATATGTGACATGTTTGTACCTTCAGCAACAAATTCTAATTATTTGGGGTTAATACTTTTATCGGTCGATGTAAGGAGATTTTTTTGGGAAAAAAGGGGACTAGATCCCAATGCACAACTCAAAACTTTGGTTTAAGATAAATTACAAAACAACATTCAAGTTTGTTGTATAGATTAGTTTAGAAATTTGCGAAAAAGCAATCTATACGTTACGTAATCTAGTACTATTAGTATTTATATATATGTTACGAATTGTAGATTCTTTTTTGTTTGTTTGTACAGTGAGAAGTGAGAACTAACTAGATATGTTAAAGCTTTACATACAGTAAAGCTCAAAATACGTAGGCCCTATGATGTCTGCCACAACCCAGCTGTAATGTAGGATAAGACACCTCTACGGCGCCGTTTTGCTGAAGAACCACCCATCCATCTTTAAATACTTTGACTTAAATATATATCTCTCAGTTTTTCTTATTGGAAGTAGTTTAGTGAATAACTAAAAATTGATCAATATTAGTGTTGAAGAATGGTAATTTCAAGATAGTAACTACATTTAGTAAGTAGGAGTATCTAATTTTGCTATTATCTTACCACTAGAGAAGGAAACGTTTTTTCCGGATGGATATTTGTTTTTCATAAATAACAAAGACAAAAGATATTGAATGTGGGATCTAATCCATGCCCTCTCATCCCTGTTGGATGTTTTGCTTTCAATGTATAGTCTTTGGTCAAATACCTGCAAGTATGCAGCAGAGAGAATTTAAACAAAATACAAGAAAAATAAAATTGTTTTCACTTGTAACAATCTTAATTGAGGAGGTCGAAATGTTTTAATAACTAATAAGGTTTTTGTTAACTAAGAAATATTATGTGGTTAAACCATTGAATTTTACGCTGAAACATGTTTATTAAATTAAGTACAAATGTTATTCCTTTTATTTAAAAATGCTGAAATTTTATTTTGTGTAAAAAGGGTATTTGGAATTTCGATCAAAGTTAATATTCTCCTAATGATGAATTAAGCGGTGGTAACCTTTAAAAGCAAAAACCTTTTATTTTAATGATTAAAGCATTTAAATTAATTATCCTTTAAATGAGCATATTAGGCTGGAATTTTCCCCCACGAGTAATATCATAACAAAATTTCCTTCGACTAGAAGGCAATAATGCCTAATTACCAACTCCCTAGTTTTTTTTTCTAAATATATTACTTACTACAATCAAACTTACAAGTTTTTTTATCATGGGTATAATTATTTACGGTTGTGATTGACAACAAAATAATTAGCACAAAAATGTAGAAATTAATTTAGAAATTTCTGAAATTTAAAATTTATTGGCAGAACTCGTTAGTTGATAGTGAACGTTTAGCTTTTTAAAAAGAAATATCAGCCTTATTAAAAATGTAACATTAAAAAATAACTCATAAATTTCTACTTCATTTTTAGTTATTTGGTACTAGGTATAACCATTTAAATATTTCAAACTCCGGTTACATTTAGTTATTAGTTATACACACTACTATCAAATGCGAATATGAAATTTCTATACCATATAAAATATTGGTTAGAATATGTGGTGTAATTTACAGGAGATCAATTATTGATAACACATAGTATCACCAAATAATCGACCAGAAACAGCAATAACTTGACAAAAATTACCAAAGATTGATTTAATTTTGCATGAAAGTGATCACGAGACAGATTTTCTCGTGTGAATGATTTTGTTGGAAGTAAAAAAGGATAGTGGGAGCAGTTGTTTAGGAGGGAAATCATATGCACGAAGAGGTCCCTCTCTCCTTCCTTTGATTTTGGTAATGATTATAAATTCCACCAAACATATATACCATTTTTAATAATCCAATTTTATGTCTTTTCGAGAATAGTTAGTTTTTCCTTTCGAATATTAGTTTTCTTGATTACACTCTCACTCTGAAACAATAAGTCAAACAAAGACATAAACAAAAAGTCAACAACCGGAAAAATCGCGATGGAGAACGCAAACGGGAAACGCTAGATGGGATCTCTCATCATTCAATTTCCTTTCTATTCACAGGCGAAGCAGCTGTAGATATCTAAATAGGACAGAGACGACTCTTTGGCTTCATGCTGACTATGCAGTGACCTTTATACCCCTGCAATGTATTCATAATTTTTTTCTAAACCTTACTTTCAATTTTTTTTGTTGTCATACCTTATTTTCAAGTTTAATGCAATGTCTTTAATAAAATCTGTGTTACATGCAGTTTATGTTTCGATTTACTTGCGGAAAGACATGATATAGCATAAAATAGTTTTAGTAATACCAACATTTTAACAGACAACATTATGATAACACAAAACAAAAAAATGTGTATGCACTACTGCATAATGATAATATCAACACATTCTTTAATTTCAATTTAACAATTTCAAAAAGCTAAAATAATGGCATATATCAATTTCACATAAACGATAAAAAAAAATTATAAGAAATTTAAATTTTCATGAATAGTAATACTCAAATGAAATTTTATATTTTTTAAATAGTAATACTATTCGACTCTATTGTACAGATTTAGCTGTGTATTCTGCAAGAGTCATCCGTATCTTGGATTCTAGTCTTACTATAATTTGTATTAGATCGATACATGTGTTTATGTACGGTCGTAAAATATTCACGTGTTTATGTATATCGACCTCTAGTTCAAGTAGGACTACACGAGATTATTCCTGAACAGTGAGCACTGAACAAACTCAACATAATTAAGTTTGTTTTTTCAAAAAAATTATGATTTAGTAAAGATTTTAATATCTCATAATCATATTATCTAGTTAACCAAAGCAAAGCAAAACCACGGATCTTCGTTTTGGTCCACTTTTGTTTTGGGTACGGATTTTAAATAAACCAGTTTTATATAGTATCTATAATCAAGTGCAACATATAGAACTATCCATAAAAGCAGAAACATTTGGTTGGTAATGTCAGCGTATATATATTAATGCTAACTCATTAATACGAATAATTCCAATTTTAATATATATATCGTGATATCTCACATGTGACTAGTTATTGAACTTAAAACACACACACACGCACAAAAAAAAGTTTTTTTCTCTAAAGGATCTAATTTTAGATGTTAGAAAATTAGGACCACTATTATTCACATAATTACCCGAACGAGACAGAAATGCAGGAGATTTTGCATGTATGGTGAAAGAGAAAGGAGAAACACAATAATAGACAAATCATTAAAAATCACAATAAATTATTAAAATTAAAAATAAAAAATAGTACAAAAAAAATGTGAATAAGAGAGAGAGAGATATTAACGTTGACGTTTGATGACAGGGGTAGATTGGGAATTTAAGAAGGTATCGAGAATCCAACACGAAATCTAAAATTAGATTTTGCATGCAGAGAAAATTCAACTGCCAAATACACAGAGAAGATTAGAGAGTGAAGACAGCGACCACTTAGCAGAGCATGTCTTCTACTTTTCTTTTTCTTTTTTGTGAGTTTTTATTGCGATTCGCATGCTTGAAAAAAAAAAAGATTAAAAGAGAAATAAAGAGCCCATTGGGCCTTTTTGTTTCATACGTATTTAATTATTTTTATCACCAAACGATATTACTGATTTTTTAATCAGATGTTCCTGAAAAGACTGATACTATTGATTTAACTCTCTGTTTTTGTTTTATAACCGGTCTAATCTCGATTGTCATTAAATTATAGCGACACTTTTTTACTTCATTTAACTAAAAAATAATTAATAGCTTTTCGTACAACACTAATCTCAAAACCTGTAAGCTTGTTAGACTTTTTAAGTGCTACTACTAGTGAAACCACTAACAACAATTATACAAATTTTAACTTATATGCCTGCAACAAAACAAGATGGTACACCATAAAATATTCAATAACTTTAAACTAATTGTTCATAACTTATAGTATTTGATTGACCTAAACAATATTACTATTGGTTGTTAGATTGGAAATTTACTCATTATTATTTCAAAAAATTGGGGAATAAAATTTTGTAAGAATTGGTAGGTCTGAAATGTCATAGTCCAAGTAATCGAGGCCAATATGTCACGTCACATCTGAATCCTTATGTCATTCTCTCTTTATTCTGCATATCCATTAACCATGGATTGGATCCATCCTTTGGCGTCATCTTTACTCGTATACAAAATTTATTCCTATTAGTTATTAGATTCATTCACATTTATTATTATCAATAAATAAATAAACTGAAGTATTTCTCTATAAAGCTACCTACGTATACTATACATGCAAAAAGGTCATAGCTATTCCATCCCGTTGAAAAGAATTTGTTTATTTTCTTTTTCTTTTTTGTCTTCGTTGAAAAGAAACTCTCTGTAATCAGAGATTCTTGTTTTCTTAAAATAAATTTTTACTAGTTAGATATTCTTACGCAAAAATTGACAAAAAGGCACTGAGGATATGTAAAGCTAACGAAGTCGCTCTCCTTTGTCTAAAGGCCTAAGCTAAAGGGTAACAAAATTATGATTTAATATTTTTAAAAATTCAACTAATGGAAAAAAGCCATGCAAAGCAACAATCTATGTCCTATGATCTTCAATTCTATATCAGTTTCGAGATATTTTTTGTAGATCCAAGATTTATACAAATTACTATTGACTTTTCTTGTAACCGATAAATTTTAGGTCTTCTATCCTAATTATGTTACCTATTTTTTAGATACTAGTTGTTGTTGTCTTGTTGATACATATAACATTTTTAAATATATGAATATGTTTTTCCTCAAAAAAAAAAACGTTGAAATCCAGCTTGAAACTTCTAAGACCAAAACAGTATCACCTGTAACCAAAAAAGCTTGTCATAATCGGATTAAACTTTGGTAATCTATCTCGAACCAAACCACGAATTCATAGACTTCGAAGTACTTATATAACATTGATTGTTTATATCTCTAATAGCAATCATTTTTGGTTTATAACAATGAAGTTTTGAATTGTCTATAGTATTCTTACGTTCGTGATTAGCCTTTGATTTTTTTTTTTTTTTTTTATTTACGCAGGGTACTCATTAGCCTTTGATTTAACTGGTCTATAAACGTAACTTATCCCTTCCAAGTGTATCATATAATAAAACTCGAATTCAAATATGGTAGCAGTTAAATAGAATCGGTGTCTATAACATCCTTTTGGAAACCAAAATAAGTAATCTAACTCCAAAATTCAAGAACAAGCTTTCATTATCACATATCAAAGTAATTTGTTGATTTTGGATTTCCGTATGTTTTCTTGTGTTCATATATCCGATATTCTGATTACAATAACAAAAAGAATCCTAAAGAAAAATTCATATATTGAAGAAAACTCCAAAACCCTAATAAATTAGGAAGGTGCCTCTTTTACTGATACATGCCTCTCATGACTTCTGCAAGATCCCCTTTGAATATTGTCTTCAAAAATATATATTTTTTCAAAGTCTTTCTTTACACTGTATATTGGCTTTGGCTTTTCATGAAAAAAGCAATAAGAATGAGACCAAAGAGAGGGCTTTGTGTCTGGTTTTACCCTTTATGTTTATTTTAATTGTAATAAAACAAAAGAAAATAGCCAATAGTTTGAATCGGAATGTACTGAATATGACAGCCATCCAATTATTTTTTTTTTTGTTTTTCATTCTGAGTTATTTATTTTCTTTAAAAAATAATTTATCAATTTTAAATTTTTTATGGTGGACAGGTTGGATCATTTGTTAAATTCTATCCACAAACAGACCTGGTCTTCAAATTCTGCATCCATATTTATGGTTCACATATATAGAAAGTTTTTGCGTGTGGGGTTAAATAAATTAATTACAGAGATGAATTTGCTTGAAAATTGTAATTTTGCCAAATTAAAATCTCAGTACGGTTCTGTAAAAAATATAGTTTTCGTATCCATAAATTACTGGTGGCATCTTTTACAAATTGCGCATAAGTTTGGTAAAATTTGGATTTTGAAGAAACGTCAAAAAAGTAAATCACTGATAAAAGCTGTTTGAAGCCTACTAAGCCCATTGTGGAATTTGGCCATGAAATATTTTGTACCCATTTTAGGTTATTGGGCCTTGATGTAAAGGCCGCCATTACTGGATATATTTTCTGGTCCTCTCTCTCTGGACAACGATTAAAAAAGGCTCAAAGCCTCGAATTGTTTTTTTTTTTGTCAAGCCTCAAATTGTTCTAATTTTCTAAAATGAAAATGTGTATTTCTGATATATCTGATTGAAAATAGATATGAACCGACTAACCTGTTAAGTGTTAATAAGAACTTTTAGCATTTACTGTAAGAAATAAAAGAAAAGAATAAATCTGTTAATAATATGTTTATTATATTAGGATTCATTCTGCAAAGTTTGTTTTATTTTATTTCAAGGTTACAATAAAGCATTCTACTAGCAATCCAAACGCATGATCTCTTGCATTCACTTGACAGTATGACGTCACTACGGATCTTTCGCAATATTATTGTGTATTTATCTTTCTTTTGTCGTGGATGAGGATACTTGTCGAGTATGTGCATGGACAAAGCTATCCCAACGAGTATAAGATAATCAAAAATAAGAGAAATAGAACGATAAAGAGAGCAATGTACGTTGAATGTGTGTGTAATCTAGACACAGTAGATGAAATTGAAATGGAGGCCCATATATATGAATACTATTTATTCGTTATAGAGTTAATAACAATAAAGAGAAGAATATGGAAATATTATGGAATAATGGAGCCCATGCCTTGATGTCTTATTGTGTCCCATGTCTTCCTACATCTATTCTCTACGAACCTTCCATTTCGATATAAAGGTTGCGTTCAATTTGGTCTCTCTTTATTATAATTTGTTATTTAAATTAAAAGAACTCGTTTTGAAGATATGATTTGGACCCATGCATGTTTAGGCGACTATGCTTCCTACCAACAAACACTAACTAAATTGCTTCACCTTTACCACGCCAATTGAATCGTTTAATGTCATTTTTCATGTGTTAAACATAAACCTGTATTATCAATGAGTTGAGTTTTGGAAAAAAATAATTTCCATTATCAGATCATATTTTTCATATGGAAAATATGCTGATATTGATGAAGAAGTTGAAATAGTTTAAAACGAATATGATGCTAAAATATACTGTAGTGCGATTGGTGTAGACTACTACATCATGTAGTAATTAATTGTAGTCAATGTAATTCAAGTGCTGCGTAGACACATATGTTGATCGTTAATTTAGCTGAAAAATAATCAAATTTAATTAGTAGCTTATCTAAAAAAATAAAAATTAATAGTGATAGTTTAAGTCCACTTAATACTCCAATCGAATTGTGTACATCAGTACAGTATAATTAAGCACTCACCCAATCAGACTACGAATTTGTTCTAATTACTTTTTTTTGTTTTAAAGGTTACGTCATACCTAACAAACTCTAAACGAATCAACTAAATAACTAGTAAATAGTATAAAATTAAAATTAGTACATGGTACATGCTCTGTTAAACAAAAGTACAGTTCAAATGGAATTTACTATAAATAAAAGTACTAAGCATGTGACATCGAATAATATTATTGCATGGAACAAAGATTTAATAAACTTTAAAAGTTCAACACAATGTTGTATTGTTTTCTTTGCTACTTCAGTGACAGGTACATCTTTTCGTTTGAACTTGCAATCCCTTTTTTCAGCCATATCTCTTCTTTTTTTTCACTGAAAGATTTTGTTGTTTTTATATATCATGAGTTTCAACTTTCAACCATACCTACAAAAAATGAGATCGAGGACAATCATGTAGTTCAATCCACATGAGTACTACACCTCGGCAATACTACTTTCATCTTCTAAAAGATATTTTAACCACAAAGAAAATCTGGTGGTATGTACAATTGGCGGTGATCCTCTTTTGTAACAGTTTTGACAATGAGATGAACTCCTATAGTTAGAGCTCCTAACCTCACCACACAAATTCCAATCCAAAAACTTTTCTAATTCAAAAGGATAGAATAGAACTTGTAGGAAGGCCAAGCTATTTCTCTTTCATATTACTCCTTTTATGTTGTTCATAAAAATTGAAATATGATGAAACTTACCAAAAGATTTGACCATACTTTATCAAAATAAAATAAAAATTGACCATATTAATTATGGATAGGCACATAACAGATACCCAAAACATTATATCATAATCTGAATCTTCTATATCGAAAAGAAATTAAATGAATTTGGATCCGAAGAACAACTATCAAGCTCGAAAAAAATAACATATAAATAAAAAAGAAAATTTAATCACTAAACCAAATAGAAAAAGATATATCGTATAAAAGTAATAAATTCCATAAACATTGTAAAGATACATATATTTGAGCAATCTGAAAATTACTACATTTTATTAAAAGAAATGTTGGTTTTTATGACATTTGAAGTATTATTCTATTTATTATATCATATATATAAAAATATCAAATATATTTTCAAAAATTATTTATGAAAATGAATTTGGATACATGACTTATAAAATCATAATATCCTAGTCTAGAGATTCAAAAACTTCATATATCATTTGGTTCCGGATATTTTACCCATCCTTACGATTACCAACTCATTTTCTGTTACACATATATACTCTCATTTAATAATTTGTTAGAACTTTATGTTATTAAAACCGTTACTGGTTAGCATAACATAAAGTAAAAGAGTAGTAATATTTTTCTATCTTATTTATGTTATCTAGGCATAAATGCACACGGCACACCTAATCAAAAAGAGAGGAAATTAAATAAGATGAGTCCACATGAAAATAGTAGAGTAGCGCATGAGCTTTTTAGGCTTTGACTAAAAACTTAAACCAAAACCAAAGTCCTAAAAACAGATTTGACGACAAAACCACTTAGGTAGGTGTCTAACAAAAGTCTAACCCTAGTATCTATCATATCTCTCACCTATCATGTCGACACTCTTCATGTGTCCCACATCCTCCCACACGCCACCCAATGTCCTCCTACTTCATTTATTCACCACATCTTACCCAAATTTACCTTTTTACCCACTATTTTTTTCCTTGTTCCCAATGTTTTTGTTTCTTTTTTGGCTAATTATTTGCTTTTTTGGGGAAAACAAAATGTAATTGTTTCAATCTGTACCCAATAATTGAGGTGTCAAAACTCAAAACCAATTTCGGTTTTGGCCGAAACTACCATACGATTTTTTTTTTAAAACATAGTTCGATTTTTAGGGGTTTTATCGGTGTAATCTTTAACATTCAATTCTTAATATTTGCATGCATTTATATTTTGTATATACTGCACGTTTTTCCCTTGGCTAAGGGATTTATTCCACAAATACGTTTAATAATTCTGACAATACCACGCTCCTCCTGCTTACTATGTTAATTAGTTAAAATACTATTATTATTGTCACTGAAAACGAAACGCATCCATATCGTCTCACATTATAATACATTTTCCTGTGAAAATTGAAAAAGACAAAGATATATTTTTTGAGTCGTCCAGTTACTCAGTTACATCAATAATTAATTAATAGGACTCTCCTAAGTTTATTTCTTATTATCGAATGATTGGTGTAAGTATAAGTTATAAGACCACCATTAACAAGGGTATCTTAAAGAGTTCTTAAGTAAGAAAAGTGGCTTAACTAAGACCCAAAACTAAGAAAAGTAGCTTAGGTAAGACCCAAAACTGAGAGTTCTTTACTTTAATACTTCTAAGAACCATTTTTAAGATACCATTGTTAATCATGCTCTAACTAGTGTAGTAAATGCTATACAAGTACGAGTGGTACATGCTAAAAATTAATTAATGTGACGCGATTAAGATATCAAATAATAATAGATTGCTACATATACAGTAAAACCTCTATAAATTAATACTCTATAAATTAATAATCTCTCTAAAATAATAAATTCTTCCGGTCCCGAGTTGGGACCAGTGTAAAATATGACATAAATCGATAAATTAATAAGATAATAATGTTTTTGAAAATCTCTTGTAAACATATGGTCCCATCTATATTATAAATTAATAATTATATAAACTTATCAATATATATATATATATGTATATTTAACTTAATATATATATATATATGTATATTTAACTTAATATATATATGATATAAATTTATATATGTCATATATGAATTACTATGATATATATTTAAAATATTATATGTAAAACAATTAATGAAATATGACTCTATTATTCGAAAAAAAAGTTTGGATTGTTTTTTAAACTTAATAATTGGTTCTCTACTTGCAATTGGTTTAAAAAGATATTGCTTATAAAGAAAAAAAAAATACTTTTAGATAGAAATTTTTAAGAAATTACAAAATTAGGAAAATCTCTCTATAAATTAATAATTATTAATTTATCAATAAATTAATACTTCTCTAAATTAATAAAATTTTATGGTCCCAACATTATTAATTTATAGAGGTTTTACTGTATGTGGAGTCAAATAAATATACCGTAGGTTTTGTATTACTGGTCATCACACAATTCATATCCATACTTGAAATGAACAATGTAAACTATGTACAACACGTCTATAATTTTATATATTTTGATGCATAAAATAGTATAGAGATTCAATTTCGTATAATCATATTCGGATATTTTATGATAAAAAAAAAAGTCCGCAACCCTTTCCCAAAAATGCCTTGGTTGCATAGATAATTGGTTTTATTATCTTTAGTTTTGTTTATTGCCATTGGTTTTGTAAGCAGGGGATATAGGTCGAAACCTATGCGAGAGAGGAGACTAAGAAACGTACAAAAGGTAGCCCGCAAAAATTAATGTAAAAACAATGTATTAGGAGCTAACCTCTTTCTTTTTCTAACAACCATTGATATTACAAAAAAGTAAATTCTTTTTTTTAACTTGCTATAACTTAGAATCTCTATAAAAAAAAAAAAAAAAAAAAAAAAACTTAGAATCTCGATAATAACATTACAGAATCGTAAAATTATGAAAATTTTAGAATACGAAAAATGGAGCTCAAAAGAAAATTTGACATAATATCAAATTTGCAAAATGAAAATTTGTTTTATGTTTTTTAGTTAATTTTGCAGAACTACAAAACGTCTGATTCTAATTTCAAAAATAGTAAAAAAAAAAAAAACTAGGAAACTAGCGTAATCACTTTAATCTTTCAGTTTCATATATTATCAAATGAAACTTGCAAAAAATGAGAATGGCCTAACACAAATAATTATTTCACAGAATCATATGGTTAGTGAAAACCCGAGAAATTGTTGTTTTGCTGTAATATGTGTGTTGATATTAAACACAAACTTTAGGTAACTAAATTTCTTAATTTAACTATGTAATTTTATTTGGAATGATATTTATTTACATCATCGATACTTGTGACTTTTTGTGAGTTAGTTTCTTTTTAGGACATTTACGCAAAGCTTCAACTAACGTATGCGTTTCTTGTTGGATGGTATTGGTAACACTCTTTATCTTTTTCCATTGTTATTATATTCACTTTGCTCCACAAGCTACGTCACAATATGCTTAATTCACTAAATTTATGGTCAAAGCAAAAAACGCTTACTAAACCACATCAATCCAGCAATATTAATGAACAAAGAAAAAACAAAATCCAGCAAAATTACATCCAAAACTACTTTTTACTTATATTGATTACATTTGCCCCCAAAAAAAAAAAAACCTTATACAGATTACATATGTATCCGAAGATTCCGAACACATTAATCAATAACCGTTGATGTAATATCACTCAAGAATAAAATTGGCCCATCCGATATATGTAACTTAAATCCTCGGGGAGACGACCAAGAAGATGGTCCAAAAATATCATTGGAACCACGTGAATCTTGATAAATATTTGGTACTCCACTCAATACTATTATTTATTATATGAATAGGACAATTCTTTTATTTGTTTCCTAGACTAAAAATCTCACTAAAAGCGTGAATTTATATTTATAATGGTATATAGTATATACATTGCAAAAATCTCACTTGAAGTATACTCTTTGTTTTCTTCTGCAATTTCTGGTAAAAAAAGTACTACAAATTACAAAATATAAATTCACCGCCTCTATGAATTAGGTGTATTACTCATAAGTAAAAATGTTGCTTTTATTTCCTAAACCATAAATATTTTTCCTTTTGAACATTACCAAAATAATCTAATAACTCCACAGGTTACAGCTAGTTTCTCCCTTTTATTCACAAAGTTACAGCTAGTTTTCCCTATATGCATATATATCACAAAAAAAGAAAATTACTAAAAACTAAAATAATAACCCCGATAAAGAAAATGCCTACATATTGGGAAATATGTACTGCAAATAATACACAAATAGCCTACTTTTTTCTTATAGAGAAACTACCACCATAATATACCTTAATGATATATATTTACTTAAATGATTTGGGACCATAATTTACAAAACTTGGGATATTTTAGATTTATTTTTTACTATTAATTTTAAATTGAGGAACAAATTGGAAGCTAAGTTTGTACCTTTAAAGCAAGCACAAAAAAACTTTATAAAACAAAGAAGAAGAACTAAAAGCAAAATTAATGATGAAAAGCATTGGATAAATATGTTCTAACATGTCCGAGATCCGGATTGTGTTTTTAGGTACCATTCTTGTCTCCTCCCTAAGCTTCATCTCTCTCTATCCCAATTATTTTCATTTTTATTTTTTAAAGAAAACAGAATATCTCTTTCAAGAAAAAAAGAAAAAAAAAACTTAAGCCTCGTTCTTCTCCCTCTGTCTCTCTCTTCTCTCTTCTTAGCTTTAGCTCAAGCTTTCTTCATCCCATGGCAACTATCTCTCAAGTCATTATCTAACTTTTTCTCTCTTCTTTTTTTTTATGGATATTGGTGTTCATGTTCTTGGGTCGGTTACTAGTCATGAAAATGAGTCACTTGGTCTAAAAGAGCTTAGAGGAACTAAACAAGATAGATCCGGATTCAACGGTGAGGATTGCTTGCAACGAAGCTTGAAGCTAGCAAGAACAACAACAAGTAGAGAGGAAGAAGAAAACTTGTCTTCTTACTGCAAAACGATGTCGTTTCAGCAAGGCATTCCTCTTATGAGATCTGCTTCTCCTCTTTCCTCTGATTCTCGCCGGCAAGAACAAATGCTTAGTTTCTCAGATAAACCAGAAGCTCCTGATTTTAGTAAATATGTCGGTTTGGATAATAGCAGTAATAACAAGAGCTCTCCCTCGCCGTTTCTTCACCAGATTCCTTCACCTTCTTACTTTAGAAGCTCAGGTCTGAAAATGTCTTTTCTTGATTGGATTTTGGTGAAATGGGTTTTATGTAAAAATCTCAAATTTTGGTTTTAAGAAACACATTTTTATTGTGGAATGCAGGAGGATATGGTTCTGGTGGAATGATGATGAACATGAGCATGCAAGGGAACTTCACTGGTGTTAAAGGACCTTTTACATTGACTCAATGGGCTGAGCTAGAGCAACAGGCGTTGATCTATAAGTATATCACAGCCAATGTCCCTGTTCCTTCAAGTTTGCTCATCTCTATCAAGAAGTCTTTTTATCCTTATGGATCTTTGCCTCCTAGTTCTTGTAAGCTCCATTTCTAAATTTTAAACCGTTTCTAGTTGCACATAGCTTGCCATTGATGATCACGTGTTTGTGAAAGTTTTGGGATTTTGATCAACATTTTTGTGGTGTGGTTGCTTAATCCAAGAATTCAGATTTTAGCTAGTCTTTGATGTCATTTTGGTGCTAAATCCTTCATAACATTGCTCATAGGGTTCTTTAAATTAATGTCACTTTGGTTGAAAAGTTTTGTGTTTTGAGTGGATTTTGTTAGAAATGGCTTAATGAGTGTTTAATCTTTGGTTTTGTGCAGTCGGATGGGGAACTTTCCATCTCGGTTTCGCAGGCGGTAACATGGATCCTGAGCCAGGGAGATGCCGTAGAACAGATGGGAAGAAATGGCGGTGCTCAAGAGACGCTGTTCCTGATCAGAAATATTGTGAAAGACACATCAACAGAGGCCGTCATCGTTCAAGAAAGCCTGTGGAAGTCCAATCTGGCCAAAACCAAACCGCCGCTGCTGCATCCAAAGCGGTTGCAACACCGCAACAGACTGTGGTCACTGGTAATACTAACAGGAGCAATGCGCGTGCATCAAGTAACCGCAGCCTTGCCATTGGAGGTCAATGTTTTAATCCTTCTACAGATTCTCTACCTAACAACAGGTGAAAACACATATTCTAATGCTTTGAATATTCATCGCTTCATGTTCATATCACTTATTGATTCTTGCAAAACAGAGTTCGAAATCCGCAAGGAGTTTCGATATATCCTTCCACCGTCAGTTTACAACCCAAGGAATCTCCGATTATTCAGCAGAAACACAGAAACAACAACAACAACAACAACAACCCTTTTGAGTTTGGACACATATCCTCTGATTCGTTACTCAACCCGAATTCGGCAAAGACCTATGGATCATCGTACTTGGATTTCAGCAGCAACCAAGACAAACATTCAGTGAATCACAATCACAATTCTTGGCCTGAAGAGCTGAAATCAGATTGGACACAGCTTTCAATGTCAATACCAATAGCATCATCATCTCCGTCCTCCACACACAACAACAACAACAATGCTCAAGACAAAACCACACTCTCACCTCTCAGGCTATCCCGCGAGCTCGACCTTTCGATCCAAACGGAGGAAACAGCACTTGAACCTGCTGTCAAAAAGGTGAATACCTGGATACCAATCTCATGGGGAAACTCCTTAGGAGGTCCTCTAGGTGAAGTACTAAACAGTACAACGAATAGTCCAACATTGGGATCTTCTCCTACAGGGGTTTTGCAAAAGTCCACCTTTTGTTCACTCTCTAACAACAGTTCCGTGAGCAGCCCCATTGCAGAGAACAACAACAGAAACAATGGCGATTACTTTCATTACACAACCTGAAAACTGAAACTAAGTCCTGCGGCAGGAAAAAAAAAGCTCTGTTTTTTTTTTTTTTCTCTTTTCATTATGTTCTGTTGCGTCTTTCTAAAGCTTAAAGAGGAAATTAGAAAATCGTTGTTCTTCTGATTCTTTCTTCGTTTCCGATTTCTGAATCTTGATTTGTTTGATAATCTCTTCATATAATCACAATCTTGATTCTAATTATTCTACATCTGGAAGAAGAAGAAAAAAAAACTTTGATTCTCGTCGGATACAAAACTAGGGTTATCTAGCTTTTTCATCAAGAGAAGCTTTTAGGGTTATAACAAACATGGACTTTAGACCAAAACTATTGTTGGGCTTTCTGATCCAAAATTTAATTTGGGCCGAGATGGTTAATGAACTAGTTACAATAAGATGTATCTACTGATAAATACATTATTTGGGATAGTGTTAACCGGTTTTTTTTTTTTTTTGTCTCATAGAATCAATATAATAAAGAATATCCAAAACACAAAGGGGTCAAAGTATGATGTCAATGCGCATAAAGCCTTTCCACTAAGTAATAATGTAAATCATTGTATTAATTTAATAACTCTTTTAGTTATTTATCATACACGACTCACGACAGTGGGAAAAAGAAAACCAAAATAAAAATCTCTTTTGTTTTCCTTCTTCTCTTAGAAAAAGAGAAAGTGGAAAGGAAAATTAGAAAACTATCATTTTCTCTTCCTAACCTTTCGTTTCATTTACATAGAGAGATAGAGAGACACAGAGAGAGATTTTTTTGCTTTGATTTTTTTTTGGGTATTGTTCTAAGTTTCTTGATATATATATTTTTTCTTAAATAATTTGATCGATCATTGAAGATGGGGGTGGTTTTGTTCGGTCATGATCATTCTCCGGTTATGTAGTTCCCATTGTTGCTGTTGTTGAAGTTGTCTTATGATCAGAATCCGACGCATCTCCGACAATCTTAGCCGAAGAATTTCTTGTTCTGTCACGAGCCTGTTATTGTCGGAATTCACTCGTTGAAGCTGGTATAAAACTAACTGGAGCCGGTTCCCGAGCTCGCGGTTTTCTAAATCGAGCCGGTTTACTTGGTCCCGTAAGTTATCTATGTGACTCTGTTTACGCATTCTCGACCGTTTCGCTGATTCCCGGTTTGATTCCATCCTCTTCCTCTTCCGCTCGTCGGTCATCTCCGGTTGGATCAATTTTTTCCGGTTACGGTTATGCTCTCCCGAACCAAAATTCGTGATGGCTGTTAATTGTTTTGAGTCGTCCGAGTCTGGTTCGTCTGCTTGAGAGCACGGTAGACCGTTTGATCTGTCGGCGTCATCAAAACCGGAATTAGTTTTGACGAAACCGGTACAAGATTCGTCAGAACCGGTTTTCATGTCATGAGAACCGGAATTAATTTTGACAGAACCAGTGTCGGATTCACCATAACAAGGACTCGGGACGGCCGATTCAAGAAACATTTGGTCCACGGAAAAGAGATCAGAGCAGTCCCATTCCCAAGGAGTGAACCCGGTTTGGAAACCCGAGAATTGATTAACCAAACCCGGTTCCGAGAATGAAAAGGCCGGTACAGTGGACAACATAATTGCTAATATTTTTTCTAATAGAGAGATGAGAGAAATTAGAAGGGGAAAAGGGAAGAATTGCATTGTTGGAGCTTGATATTTATGGACAAACCAGAGGGGTAGTTTGGTCATATTTGTAAAATACGATGTACGACCGTAAATTATACTGTATAAACAGCTTTTGAGTCATGTTGCACTATGGTGGGGTTAAAAACTTGAAATTTTATTTGGTGGAGCCAACTTTTGTAAAAAGCAGGAAATATTATGTGGGACACCAATAGCTTGTTTTGGGTCCATATAACAAAAAATAAAATTAACAAATTTGAAATTTTTGTAACCAAATGTCTGTAATAGCTTAGTGATGAAGAAAACAGTCCATATTTCACACGTTTTAAGAAATTCAAGAATGAGATATTTCTTTACACTCCTAGAAAAAGTTTAACTTTTCATATGGAATTGAATACTTCATAAGTTCATATAGTTTTCTCTGCAATTTCTTGTTAGAAGATTCAACCAAAAAAAAAAAGAGAATAATTATATACATTGAAGAAAAAAAACATTCCACGATCATTATTTTACTTTTCTCCTATCAACATTGTTTTTAATTGAGTGCATGGCTCACTATTACTTCAAATTATATAAGTATATATGACGTTTTATAAGAAAATCATCACTTCACATTTTCTTCAAATCCAGTTTTATTATCATTTTTAAATTAAAAAAAGTGTATGTGAACATATGCTGGTTAATCTTTTTTTTTTCTTTTTTTTTTGGTATCAAATGCTGGTTAATTATGATATTGACAGCCAGAATAGAGTAATTTTTGGTTCTTTATGTTCACTGTTTAATCATCTTTCTTAAAGAGAAATACAATCTTTTTTAAAGAGAAAGACAATCTTTCTTTTATTTTAATTTTTGTCAATTTCTTTTAACACGGGATGGACACACTGGAGAGGGACTAGAATCATCATTTCAATCAGAGAATCTAAGGAACATACTTTCCAATTAACTGAACCAAACTGGTGCTTTGCATGAGAGATGAGACCAATGCTTTTTGTAAAAGAACCTATAAGTTAACCTATGACCAAAAAGTAAGAGTATATATACTTGCTTGCTACACGGAAACATTTAATCTTTCGATTTCAAGTATATATCAAATGTAGAGTATTTAGATTAGTTTATTCAATAGAATATTAATAATGAATCAAAATATCTTATTTAAATTTTCAAAAACATTTTGAGTGTACAATACAAAATTAATGAAAATATAGAGAATAAATTCAATTTTATCTTCTTTTTTTTTTTTTATCAAAATTCAATTTTATCTTAATGTTGAGTTGTTTTTCTCTTTGGTTAAAATGCTGCAACATTTATAACTTCGTAGTTTATACATATATACCGCATTTGCTTTCATTTAAGAACTTACCAAACTAAGGAAAACTAATTAATATAGATTAAAAATGTGACTGTATTAAAATCATGGGAGATTGACACAAATAGCCCCAAAAAAGTTGTTTTTTCCAAAAATAGCACCTCATTTGAAAAGTTCCACAAATAGCACCATAAACTTCAATTAAACTTAATGAAAATATAAGATAGAAAATAAAAAAGAGAGTAAACACTAATCTAATATTAAATTGAATCAAAATTGTTTTAAATAGTAGAAATATATACCCTAAATTGGAAATAGGGAACCCAAATATAATACCATAAACTAATATTAAAATGACAAAATCTCTTTTAAATGGTAGAAATATATACCCTAAATTGGAAATAGAGAACCCAAATATAATATTTTAAATTTATTTCTAATTTATTTTGTTGAATAGCTTTTATATAAAAGTTGTGGTATTATTGAAAAAAAAAAAGCTAGTGATAAAATTTTTAGAACAAAAACACTAATAGTAAGTTAACTAGTGCTATTTTTGGAAGTTTATGGAGTGTGTGCTATTATTGTTAATAAAACTTGTTTTATGGCCATTTTTAGGAATTTCTCTAAAATCATACAAGCCCAAGTACAAATTTCTGATAAAAATTAAGTAAATTGATGATCCCACAATATATTATAATTATATGAAAAATTGTGAATAGCTTAAGTTAGCTTATTTATGATCAGAAAAAAAAAAATTGTGGAGCAACGGCCACATGCATTTCATATAGAATAAAGCAGAGAGGACAAAGACATATCTAAGTTAACATATAATACACGCAGCTTTATAAATAGCCCGACTCATGTTTTGGTTCGGTCTCATGTGAATTCAGCTTTAATGCACTGAAAAAAGCTTCACACATCTTAGCTTTTTCTACGATCCCAATTTCATTTTAATTGTCATTAATAAATAACTATTCGAGTGGAGGTACCTATCAATATTGTTAACCACTGAAAAAGTCGTATCGCAGACCGGTCGATGAGCCAGGAGCCAAGATTGTGCCCGGCTGGTGAACCAGCTTTCAACATGGCTTATATATGGCCAGTACGTAAAAGTTTTTTTTTTTTTTTTTTTTTTTTTTTTTTTAAATGAAATAATCGTTTTGTTTTAGGTTCTTACAAGTTACAACAAAGTTATGTTCTAAGATAATCATCTACAGTTTGATAAATTAGCAAAAGTTTTTACGGTTTGATCCTAAGTACAAAGATCTTTATAAAAAGAAAAGAAAAAAGATCTTAAAACTCGATTCTATATACGTAAAATTATTTTTCTTCAGGGCACTAAATTTTAAAGTTTGATTGATATAATGATTTTTCTGTAGTGGAATTACAAAAAAAAAATTATCTCAAAAAGTTTTTCACCTCATTGTATTAAAGGCAACAGACTACAATACACATAACATGGGAAATGAAAAAAGTTTATAAGACGGAAAGCACAGATTTACTTGTAAATTGATGTCACAACTTTAACTATATTCGTTGAACCTTAACACGTAAATAAATACTCAATAATTAAAGATTCGAATGTTCTATAATTTTTTTTTTTCGTTTGTACTCACACGCGTATTTACCATATTGGAATCCGGACAATGAACACGGTAGCAACATTAATATACAAACCACTAAATTAAAAATCCACATCAAATATTTTAGAATTACATTATTTCTTTTACATATTTGTAGTCTTGTAGGCATACGTACATAGAATCTTTATATATAGCTTCTTGGATATAACTCAAGTAATGGTCATGCGAATCATGTAGAAGACATTATTCTTTACCCTTATGCTAATTAACGAACTTCCCTTTGCTTGAGGAAACATATATCAGTTTTGATGTGTATAGGTATATATTATGGACCTTGTACTATTGACGATTCATACATAAATACTTACGGAAAATCCAATAACTTTTAATTTTTCTACCTATATTTAGAAATTTTACTATATAAACTGAAAAGGAATTTTAAAACTTGTTTTCAAAGTTTAAATAAAAATAACAAGAGAATTAGTTATTAAGAAAAGTTAACAGAATCCACAAAAACTATCATTGAAATGTAACCGAATTTCAATAGATCATATATGGATTATAGTCAGTTTCGTACTAACTCTTAAAAATTTGTTAAATTTTCAAATACTTATTTTGTAAGATTATAGTCAATTTCGTGTGTATGCATTTTTCTTATATACAAGTATATGCTAATTACTTTAGCTGACGGCTACGGTTTAGGTCATACAGTATTAAATTTGAATCTTTAACTAAAGTCGAGGAGGAAAACTTTAATAAAAAGTTTGGACAAATCCTTTATCTTTTATACTCCATGACTTCTTACAGTAATCATAATTATAAATGACGCATGTAAAGTTTTTAATCACTATGAAAAAAAAATACAAGGCCATATAACGACAAATTTTGGAAATTGGTAAAACTTAAACGTTTGGCAATGGATGTTAACATGCAACACCAACACTTTATCTTTAAATCTTCTTTAAAAAAATCTGTCGTTATATGAAAATGAGTTGCAAATATATATTTGATGTTTATAGATATAAAATAAAAACAAACTTTACGGATACAAATAATATAGAAGGCTGTTTAAGATAATTGAGTCTCCAAGTCGTCGCATACTGGAGAAATTTATTGTCAATATTGTTTTTTTTTTTTTGTTTGGTGTGTCAATATTGTTTTTAGAAGTATATATATAACTAATTCGTTATTAAATATATTAACTAGATACAAGTCTGACGACAAAAAATAATAGATATAATTAACTCAGAAATATATTAATAAGACTATTACCAATGGCGACTAAATGCTAACATTGCTCGGGTCCTCTAACCTCAGTGAAAAGGTATTTACTTCAACCTCTACATCGACCTAAACTTTCATGTCGATTAAGTTTTGGCTCTACAGTATTCAACACATCCAGAAATTATACTCTACACTTCTACAGTTCAACAAATTAACGATATAAAATTCCTAAATTAATTTCATGTTTTTGTCGTCTTGCATCGTTCGTGTTAATTAACACATATTTTTGTGTGTGGTGTATATTTATGAGTAAATGGATGTAAATTAAAGTAACGTAAGCAATCCACTAATTATGGCTTTTAGATGTAGCTTTTTGTAATCTATATGTTTGTGGTGGAGTGTTCGTTTAGATTTATCGTATGGCGTCATTTGGTACGTCATTAGGGTTCTACTTATAGTTCCAATTGTATAAATATCAATATATATGAACTGTGTGCATCGTATATGTACATGCATATGGATAAATGTCTATGTAAGGGTAGCTTTAATTAACGAGTTTCGAATTTTTTTGCTTTGCAACTTTAAAAATCGAGTGGTTTCTCGTGATATTAACATTATATAGTGGTGGGGATGCAAATATTGCGACAATTGTACTAATGACATCAGTGAATGATATATCATAACTTTTATACAATTAAAAAATAGTTTTTCTGCTCGACCGACTAAATCGGGCTAAACTATATGTTTTAAGTTTTATTTTTTTCCGACTGTACCTCCATCATGGCTGAATCATTGGTGACTGGCCGTAGAAAAACCATATATTAATTTCAGGATTTTTTTTTTTGATAGTTCAGAATTTTAGTTAATAGATTATTGTGATTTGTTTTATGGAATACATATTTTTGAAGAAAAAATAAAGATGGAATTACATGTTATAAAAATAAAAAGTAAATGGACCCATGTGAAGATTAAGTTCTTAACGGTGTTTCCTGTTTTACACTGGGCCTTATAAAGAGAAGGGTTTAGGATTGTATTGGGCCTTTATATTGGTACATTTTGGCCCGAAATAAAAAACCAAAGGCTGACTATTATTACCTCACGTCACGGGTCAACGTTTTTGTAAACTAAGCAGTAAGCAGCAATGCCAAATACTACTCCCTCCGTCCCACTAAGCAGTATTATTTTATTTTACTTTTCTTGGGATTGGTTTTGGTGATTTGGTCCAATTACAAAGGATAAGTGGCAAATTTTCCTTTTGAAAATGAGTGAAATAGATATACATTTTTTTTTTTTTTTTAACTTTTACAACTGTAATTTTTTAATAGATAAGAACATTAACAAATGAAAAGATAAGATCAAAACACTCTATTTTTTTGTTCTTAAAATAAGAACTAGATTAAGAAGAGATGACCAAGATTGACTATATATATAAAGATGGCTTGGTCATTGGTTTTCAATATATCCATAATTAATCTATAATCACAAAATGGCAAATCTCTCCACTTTGCTCACGATAGCTCTCCTCCTTTGCGCCACCATGCTAACGTGCACCGCCCGCCCGGAACCTGCCTACTTCGCCTCCTTCACAACCTCTCCGGCGGATACACTTAGTCTGGTTAGTCAGACTATATATATATATATATATATATATATTCGTATACAAATGTTGTGTAGATTCATGCGTAGTTATATATTTTCGTTTGTAATTTATTCCTATAATTGTGTTTCAGGAAATGATAGAATCAAAACTACACGACGTGGCGGGAGAGAGCTGCGATAAAGAAGACGACGAAGATTGCTTGGTGAGAAGAACATTGACGGCTCATCTTGATTATATATATACACAGAAGAATAGCCACCATTAGCTATAAATGTTAATTATTATATATAACTGTTGTGAATTCAGATTATTCTCACATGTTACAAATGTGTATATAGGATCATTGATTAATTCAATTTATTCTTTTAATGGAATTGTCAAATTATTCCCAATATATATAGAATCCTTAAATTAATTTAATTCTGTTTTATTTTCATTGAAAGTGTCAAATTACCCCCACATAGTATGTGTGTGTATACATATAAATGGCATAACAAATTAAATCTAAAATGCGAGTCTGAAAAATATATGATTACATCTTTCTGGTTTATTGAAAAAAAATACAAGAATGTTAAGCAGGTAGATGAAATGTTATTAGCTACCATCTGGAAAGATTTGGAGGATTTTGAAATGAGAGATCTCCCCAAGAAGATGACGGATCAAACGCAAATGATGAAGAACTCTGCTTTGCTGCATCATCCAAACTCTTGAGCGGCTCAGGCTGCACAGCCTCTTGCTCAGGTGCACCGGTTAGCCTCTGAACCAACTCTTTGAAGTTTACTGGCTCAACTCGGTAGACATGGGGGTGCATTGGATTCAAAGGGGATGATGATGATATTGCAGGCCTCTTCAAGGGCTTTGAAGGTTGTTTTCGGGTCGAATGGAGCGAAGTTAGGTAATTTTTCGTTGCCCTTGTCGCGGTTTCTTGAGCGTTAAGGTAACTCTGAGACATAAATTGCTGTGATGTTGCTTCCATTAAGACTTGAGATATCAGCTTAAAGTTCTCTTTGGATGTGAAGTTAGGTCTTCTGATATATATTGATGGATGTGCATCATTTTCAACGCGGGTCAAGCCTTTGGTTTTTGACTGTTACTAGGAATTTGACTTTTGAGAACATTGTTTGTTTTGTTTATGAGAATCATAAGTGAAAAAAGGGAAATTTCAACGTGTGTGTTCTAAATATTTTATAGTTTTCTAATTAAGTTTCTGATCATAGTAGGATAACTATTAAAAGGAAGATTCTATAATCAAATATTAGAATAAAGAAGGCCGTGGCCGTCCACGTGACGTTTTGTTATTATTATTTGTAATGATGAGAAGATTAAATACTTTTTTTTTTTTAATAATATAATTATATTAATCTTTCCCAACTTACAACGCTACATGGTTACATCGGAGGAAAAACACTTATCAATAGCCTTCGGATTTGAATCTGAATCGGATTCCTTGATCTACTATTTGATTTACTTTTTATAACAAGTAATCTATTATTTGATTTCTAAAAGTGCTACTACGGTCACCAAAGTAATAAGAAGGGGAAAACATATGCAACCATTTAAGAAAATAAAGTTTCAACTCAAAATTACAAATCTAAAAAAGGTGTAATAGTAATATATAACAAACGCTTTTATAAATTTATAACAATTTACGAAAAGAAAGAAAATAAAAATTTTAAAACTATTTTTAAAAATTCGAATTAAAAACTTGAATGCTAAATCTACATAATGATAGGAAAAACAAGTTGAATGTTTGGAATCGCTAACAACAAAGGCTGGATTCAAAATCCAGTTAGTTTTCATATCATTATACAAATTTAGTATCAAACAATAAAATTAAAAAAAAAACCAAAAAAGCTTTTAAAAATCCGAAAAGAAAGAAAATAAAAATTTTAAAAACTATTTTTTAAAATTCGAATTAAAAACTTGAATGCTAAATATACATAATGATAGGAAAAACAAGTTAAATGTTTGGAATCGCTAACGACCAAAGCTGGATCCAAAATCCAGTTAGTTTTCGTATCATTATGCAAATTTAGTATCCGACGGAAAAAAAAAAAAAAAGAACCAAAAAAATCTTTTAAAAATCCGAAAATAAAAAGAAAATAAAATTTTTAAAAACTATTTTTAAAAATTCGAATTAAAAACTTGAATGCTAAATCTACATAATGATAGGAAAAACAAGTTGAATGTTTGGAATCGCTAACGACCAAGGCTGGATCCAAAATCCGGTTAGTTTTCGTATCATTATGCAAATTTAGTATCAAACAATAAAATTAAAAAAAAAAACCAAAAAAATCTTTTAAAAATCCGAAAAGAAAGAAAATAAAAATTTTAAAAACTATTTTTAAAAATTCGGACTAAAATCTTGAATGCTAAATCTACATAATGATAGGAAAAAACAAGTTGAATGTTTGGAATCGCTAACGACCAAGGCTGGATCCAAAATCCGGTTAGTTTTCGTATCATTATGCAAATTTAGTGTCTAAGTTTTTTAAAATCCGTAAGAGTAAAAAAAGAAAACCAAAAAAATTTCAAAACCATTTTTGATTTAAAATAAAAATATTTGAAAATCTGCTAAAAATTTGTGAATTAAAAAAATTAAGAAGGGTTAGAAATTGACCTTTCTTATGGGCTGAAATTAATATTCCTTCTGTTGGGCTTTGTTGTGCAAAAGGGCTTTGATGACCTCATCAATCCAACCCTCTCACCACCACCCTTTAATCTCCACCGGGAACGCAAGCCATCGCCGTCGTCGGAGAGAAGCTCCAATGAAAAACGCAACCTCTCTGTAAACGCAAAAGCAGTCTTGACCGGAAAAGCAAAGCCACGTGCTCATGATTCCGAAGCCTGAAGTCCACATCATCTTCAATCACGATCTTCTCTTGTTTGGTTGTCGAAGAGCAACGGCAAAGAAAGAAATCAAAACGTCGAACAATTTGGAGTAAAAAAGAGGTAAACGAAGTAGAAATTGAAGAATAGAATCGTAAGCAATGAAATCACTCGATTACTCTCTCTCTGCGTTTCTCTGTTTTAGATAGAGAGAAGAGAGGATGCGGGAGATGTATACATATATACAATTTGTTGTTGCTTAGGATTCATTCATTGTTTCCTTTTTTTTTTGGGTTTCAAAGTTTCCTTTTTGTTTTTTGGATTCAAAATTTCCTTTTTTTTTTGTTGGTTTCCTTTTTTCTTAATAGGTTCTTCAGGATACCGTCTTAATTAGCACTACGCTTATTTCCAGGATATTTCTTTCTTTACACAACAACAATGAAGATGAGAAAGATAAAAAGCTGAGGAGAAAATGTCAGCCGATAAGAAAAGCTTGTCCAAAAAGGACTAAAGAAGGAGAAACCAGAGCTTGTGATTGTAGAAACAGAGCTCAAGGCTACAAGGTTAGAGTCTCAGCAATGGAAATACATAAAGAGGCTGAATTTCTCAAGAATTAGGATTGATGCAGGTGGTGAATCACTTTCTGCTTCGAATGTGAAAGAAGAATCCGTCTTCACTCTTCAGTGACTTGTATAAAAAGAGTGGTCCTAGAGATAGTTTGGCCTCAAGCATCACCGATATTACTCTGTAACGTCCCACATATGCAGCCTCGCGTCCTGCAACTCTCACACTTTTAGACTCGTAGCTGATGAAACCATTACTTGAATCTAACATCGTGACAAAACTAGAAGCAAAGCTTCATAACTTTTCTTACCTCTCTCAGACAGAAGCTGGTCGATTTGCTCTTGAGTTCCAGGAACTAAAAAAAACCTTATTCCCAGATGATGAAGAAACGCTATGTCCTGCACATAAATCAAATCACTTCACCTTCTACTCAATTACGAAAGCTGAAAACTCAAGCACATTGCAAAGAAAAGATACTATCTTAAACCAGATCAGATGGTTGCTCGTTTTTGCACAAGATTAACTCATAAACAGTTACAAATATATACTACTTGCAAATATTTAAAAGAAACTAAATAAAGTGATGTTGGATAAATAAGACACTGATCAAATCTTGGATTTCTGATTCACAAACCACCCGTAGCTCCAAAGGATCGTCCATGGGCCTACAATAAGAAGCAGAAATATACTGAGGCCCATCAAACTTTTTTTTTTTTTTTTTTATTCTTCTTCTAGTTTTTTTAACCTTTGGCAAGCAGACAGTCATTGAACCTTAATTAAAGATACAGTATATACGAAAATTTGAGTTAGCTCATCAGTGCATGATGAAGTTTACTGGTAAAATTAATCATGCTTTTGGACGGTAGATCGTTCATGTATATTCAATTTATTATTTATTGCAATTTGCTAATTATTTTTTCCTTAAATTTTGTATGTTCACATCTCATATTTTTGATCACGTTTTGAAGTCAACTCTTGACTTTACATTTTCTTAGCATATATCATCTATGGTATAAATATATAAATACTATGGTTCTAATAATTTAAGGGGTTACGATCAAATAGGCTCCACATTTAAGAGTAGCATAACATTATTTTCTTATCATAATCAAATTTTATCTTTTGTTTAGTATGGATTCCATCAAACTCTCAACGTCTCGTGGCTAATGCTGTATAAAAATAATCAACCGAAAAATAACAAATCGTCCTTTACTTATTGGATACAATTATGCATCTCCGTACGCAAATGCCATAAATCTATACCTTAAGTTTTATATATTTTTCCGTATACTATATTCTATATAGTTCAAATGTGTATATACATACATATATAAATATAAAATTATGTCGGGACCCAAATTTGTATGTATATAAATCATCGCAAAACCTTGTTAAATGTTCAGCATCTTACAAAAATCATTGCAAAACCTAAGTTTCTCTTCTCACTTTGTGATAAAGACAAGATGAGCAAGAAAAAGGAGACGAAGCTAAGCAAGTACATAAAGGTTCCCATAAAGATGCTGGTCAAAGCTAGAGACTTGTACATACGAAGCATGAATCAATGGTCTTCCCATGACCTTATTGGCAGCGGCATGGGTTTAGGGATACCGGTCTGCAACGTAAGCAATCTTCCGCGAAGTTTTAGCGCTAGCCACGCCCTTTATTCCATGAGACCTGAAGATGATCGTGTGCCTGCGCTTGTGAGAGCCGCATCAGCTAGAAATACGATCATTGGTGATGCGCGACATGTACCATCGAAATTCCGGAAAGCTAAGAGTTCGAGAAGCTGTGGTGGTCATCGTGGGTTTGAGAAAATTGATGAGACAAGTCCTTTGATTAGTTTTGGGAGTAAGCACAAGATGCTTCAAAAGAGTAAGAGTTACGGTGTTGCCAAATATACTTATTCGCTCCAATAATTGTTTTGTTTATGTGTTACGGGTCAGTTTCGATTTCCATTTAGAATCTTTGGTATATATTATGTGTGATTCAGATCGAGAGGTTGGGTCAGGGTGTCTTATGTAATTAAGAATCGACCAAATGTGAAATACTTGTCATGCATGGGTGTTTTAATTTCGTTATTAATGCCTATTGTTGTAAAGTTGAAAGCAAAATGTTAATGTGATATTGTTTGTTACAACTATCTATGATTCATAGTTGCTTTCACAAAATGAAATAGTCTTCTCACACAAATAAATACACATGTGATTGTGATATTATAACCAATATCTAGATATGTACATCACCAAACTCAATAATTATGAAATGGCCATAGATGTGATGGTTCATAACTGTGGATAATTGACCTGAAGAAGGAGACATTAGTTCTAATTTCGTCGATATATCATTACATGAATTCAAATCCCATAAGTTACTTTTTTTTTTTTTTTTTTTTTGGTAATTGGTTGGAAAAGAGAAATATCTCAGAAACCTTTACACAAAAATTTGAGTAAACAATGTGTTTAAACCAAATGCAAAACTGTTCGTTGATTTGGTTGTGTCATGCATTAGGACATGGACACAAAAATTACGACCAATTCTTTTTTCAGTTATACACAACACAAAGTGAATGACATTAGCTCTTTTTCTCTTTCTTTGTGCCACTTAATTTTCATAATCAACTTATCAAAGTACTTATTAAGAAAATAATCACCAAGCCTCATTAGGATAATCGAACGGCAGAGGTTGAAGCGGAGAAGTCTTACTCAAATCAGAATGCACGTGACCATACACGCGCATCACCTGATTATCAGCAAAATTAAGGGCTCTGATCATCTCATTCCAACACGTGTCACCATCGTAACTCGGATTATGATCACCGCTACATGGTTGACATCCCGTAAAATGCGTTACAAACGCGCGTCTGCGACTACCTCTCCCACCAAACTCGCCTTTCAAAAACCGCTCTTCTCTAAACGCACCGTATCGCTCGCTGACTTTCTCCGCGTGACGTCTACGCAACGTGTCGTCTTCTCGTTCCATCTCGAGATACCGCTCCGTCACGTTAGCGAAACCATCAACGACACCAATCCAATACCCTTGGAGATAATACTCTCCTTCGAGGTATATCTTAGGATAATACAACTCTTTATGTTTATAAAGCAAATAAATCAGAGCCGTCTGATCATCTGACTCTGGAAACAACTTATCTTTGAATATCGACCGTTGGATCGGACCCCACTTTTTGTAATCTGGACTCACTGGTCCCATACTCTTCCACGTGTCAATTAAGTCCATTGACCATTGACAATTCCTGATTAAGAAAACGCCGGCGTTTAACGCCGTCCAACTCGGTTTATCGTAGATTATATTTGGCCAACCGTGAACGACGAGGTTATGTTGACGGTAACGGTGAAGCGGCGGTTTAAATTCCATGTCGGTGAAAATGGCGTCGGAATCAACCCACCAAATCCACTCCGCCTCTGGGTGAGCAAGCATCGCCGCTTTAACCACCGGAAGTTTCGCCCAATACGAATTCATCTTCGGATGAAGAAGAGCATTGCTGTAGAAGATTTCATGGCCATGGATTCGAGCGTAATCGACTTTGTTTTTGAAGCACCGGAGTAACAAATGGTCTCCGATTGGGTTTTTACACGGCGAGGATTGTGAACCGGTTACCATTAAGATCCGGTTTTCTGAACCGGGTTTGAATGATGGGTGTGATTTAAACCATTCGTGCCGTTTCTCGTCCCAATTTGTGATTGATTTTTCGATCGAGTAGCTTAGATCCGGATCGTCGTAAAAACCGGGTTCGGATGGGTCTAATTGCATGTTTAAACCGGAACATTGAACCGGTTCGCCGCCGTGACGTAAACCGTTGAAGGTGAAAGTGAAAGAAGGTGAAAAGAGTGAGAAGTAAGACCAGACGAGAGTAAGAGACATGAAAGCTCCGGCGAGAAAGATAGCACCGTCTGATAAACAAACGGTGGTTCTGGTCTTTGCGCCGCCGTACTTTCCCATCGGAAATGATGAGATTGAGAATGTGAAAAAAATCTACAATGAAGTGATTAGAAAAGATGGGATTTTTTTTCAGTAAAATTCTGGAAACAGTTGGGTGATGAAGTAAAGAAATGATAATTTCTGATTTATGGATTATTGGCTTGAATGTGAGGTGATTTAGTCAACTAAGTGTATGGTAAGATAATGGGATTATTATAATTCTGACACAGATTTGGCTAAGTTTTTAGCATTTTTCCCTAATATAAAATTTATTTTACTGACGAAACATTTATGGGAAGTGTGAATACTTGAAGCAAGGTTGTGAATGGAAAGGTTTGGATCATTATTTTTATAGAATGGAATCCAACAATTTATAAGAAATAAATACTCAAATTAGATTCTGAAAGTTTTTCCTATTAAATTATTTTTTCTCTTAATTATATATATACGCCTATTTTAGAATAATGAATAAAGTTTGATATATATACATTATAATTGTTAGTCAATTTCCACTAAGTAAAGTTATCTCTATATTATAGACAAAAATCTTTCTTAATTAATTATTTGAAAGCTAAATACATTTTATCAAAGTATTCATTTGGGCTTACATGAGACGTGAGTTTTTTCCACTTCCACCAAAACTTAAGGCTTTCTGCATTTCAGGCTTTGGGTCCATATTAGTTTCAAGATTTCAAATTTGTGACCCAATCTCTATGATTTAGGTTGATTGTGAATTCTAGTTGTACACATTTGCGTTTTGCTTGTATCAGCTCCCACACGTGCTTATCATTCTCTTGGTGTTGCAGATGGGGAAATGTTGACCTGCGTTGTTAGCGACCATCATGTTGGTGGTACATGTTCTTTTCGTTTGGTGAATAAGAAGGTTAGATCTTTTCAACCAAACAAAAATTAGAAACAAAACATGATCTATCAACGAAAAATGAGTAAAGATGTTAGAGTATTACAAACCGTTCCATTAGGTAGAGATCCTGGTTCTGATGATTCATGGATTATTTCAAGCAGCTGAAATGTCTTGGAACCAGGTGCAGCACACACTGTTCAGACAAAAAGAGAGAAGTGAATCAGTTAACCATTAGTCCTCAAGTCCACAGCCATCTCAAACAATGTCGAATAAAAATCACTCACTGTTGAGAACAAAATGATCTGGATGTACATCAAGGAAGAGAGGAGGTACATGCGTAATCATAAAATCGACCAGGAAAACTATAAAATGTACCGATGAATTGTCATTAAAGAATGTCACACTACCATACCATGCTAACTGATTCTTGCCTGGTCATGTTCCCAACTTCAGTTTCTAACTTAAGAAACTCATGAAACCTGAAATAAGACACCGATAAAAAAAGCTAAATAACTAGAAGAAAGCATGAACTAAAACAAGTAATCGAATGGAATTGAATACTTGTTCTGAAGCAACTGGCATGAAAATGTACCTTTCAAGTATCTGGTTTTTGCTAATCTCCTTGCGTGAAAAATTAGAATGCCAAGCAAGAATCTTAGGGTAACAAGGCAAAGGCTTGATAGCCTCCAATTCACCACTCTCTATAGCCTTAAGTATGGAAAACAAAAACCAACATATGAGTAGACAAAAGACAGCATATTATGTATGAGACACTAGAAAAAAAGAAGAGTCATGAAGTTACCTCAGCCTGAAGAGATTTCATGAAATCATTCTCCGATTTCAATCGAATCTAATCACAAAATTGACCACTGAAGAATCAAAAACAGAGACCACTAAGTCAAAAAACTTTTTACTTTGAAGTATAGTAACACTTAGCAATTCAAGAATCCAAGGATACATACTTGGAAGTAACTCTGAAAGCAGCAGGTAATGGCTTACGAAGAAACTCCATAAACGAATCCCACTCTTCTGCTTTCACTATCCTTTGTTCCTTACACAACACAACAAGACATTACAATGTTGTTTATTAGAAGCAAAGTATCTAAATCCATGGAAGTGTCATTGATTGTATAGAGGTACCTTGTTATACTCCTCGAAATGAAGATTTGACAAGATGGGCTTTTGGAAACTGTTGCGATGGGTTTTTCAACATTCTCGTTGCTATTGTCGATTTGATTTCTCTTGGAAGTGTCGTCTCCATTTTTGTTGTTACAGTCGCCGAGTTTTTTGTTTTCACAGCGATGGGTTTTATGGGTTTACATTGGTTTTGAAATTAAAATTGATCTCGGTTCGGTTTACTTTGGTTTAGAGAAGAAAACCAAAAACAATAGGACACGCGATAGATTTTTTAGACTGAAGAGCGTCGACCAAAAATAGGCATGATTTTGTAGGTTAACCCCTTTAGGGCATCCTCAATGGGGGATCTCTTTTGGGTGTTCTTAGAGTAAAAACATTGTTAAAAAAATGTAAGATCAGTAGTTAAGATCTTTTGTTAAAAAGTTTGATTAGTGGGAGAACATGTTTAAGAACATGTTAAAAAGTTTCGCTTCTCTGCACGGTGCTCCTCCCGGAGCCAACCAATTTCTCATCAAATTCGCCATGAAATTCTTCTGCAAGTCGGCGGTAATCCACCCGAATTGGACCCGTAATCTGCAACCGAAGAAAAGCCATCAGATCCAAAAATGGATCGCCGAGACACGCAGCAAAAACCCACCGATCTCCTTCGGACTTCCGCAGCAACCACAGCGAGACTCCCGAGAGGTCGAGCCGCGAGAAGACACCACTCCGATCTACAGACGTCCTTAACCCGAGACCGGAGAAACCTCTCAAACCGCCGGGAAAAAGGCCAAGATCGCATTCCGTCGGAGATCCACGTCGCAAACCGTATTTCCTTTCCCAATTCTTCCGCCCAATAGAAACTCGCCACGTCACCCCGCAACTCCTTGAAGAACAGATCCAGGATGAGAGCGGGCTGGCTGATCTTAAGCCCAACAAGCCATTATTTTGGATTAAAAAAAAGCTAAGATCACCCCCCTGATCTGCCAATGCAGATGACCTTAGAAATTGGACACACGCGCTCAACGCGCACTTGCTGAGACTGGCTGTGATAGTTTTCTTTTTTCATTTTTTTATTCGGAAAATGTGAAAATAAAGGCCTCTGATTGGTTGAAAAAATGAAAATAGTATGGGTGCTCCTCCTCTCCTATAATGATGAAAACAATAATAAACAGTGTGTCTCTGTGAGTGAAGAAGCACGAATATCATCAGAGAGGAGCAATCAATCCACTCTCGTCTTCTCCTTTGTTAGCTTCGGAATCTTCCTCTTCTTCTTCAATAGAGCTTCGACTCGGCTTATATGAGGTTGACACTGGATTATGATAGCTGCAATCAAGACTGGAATCATCTGAAAATATGAATCCTTCAGCTTCTGTAACCAGTAATATGTAGATTAACAATATGAATCCTTTGTTTAATAAAGGAAACAATTCAACATTTGATTACACATAAGACTTTACATAATCCAACTTTTATATGAAGCTACTACAAACAAGATTTAAAACATCAAAGATTCCATCTAATCTTCAATCTTCATCTTCAACATCCTTCAATGTCTCTCCACTTAAGATACACAAGCCCAGCTCTATAGTGTGTGAACGCACCAGCAACTACCAGAACATGAAACAACTGATGGCTATGTCCTGCTATATCGAATTTCCCCGGCATCCATCTCTCTGGAATCCTAGTTGCATAAACCAAAGCTCCTAACCCGTAAAGCAAACCCATCAAAATCTCATAACCTGTCGTGTGAAGCGCTTCAGGTTGGTCCCAAAAGATGATCAGCTTGTGAAGAATCGGAGCTAAGCCAGAGAATCCCATTCCAAAAAACAGAGACGCCCTCACGACCCGAAACTCCGGGCTTTGGAAAACCGGGAGGAGTGAGACAAGCACTGTGGCGATTCCTAAGATGGTTATGAAACCTAAGTAGAGGTTGCAGAAGAAAGGATCACACATGAAGGAGTAATAGACCGGAGGGTAGAAGGAAGTAGCTATTAGAGCTGCGATTCCAGCGTAATCAAGCCTAAGCATTATGTAGGAGACTCGCTCGGAGTGACATGAGAGGAGGTGGCATGTGCTGCTTGCTAATAGACAGAACATTGCACCGCCTAGAAATGCATAGAACGGCCATCGGGTAATTGGCCTGAAGATCAAAGGAGCTATCATGTTTGCAAGATCTTCTCTCACCGAATGCTGCAATGCCATTACAGAGATATGAACTTGGCGACATATTGAAAAAGCAATGTGCAGAAATAGAGAGAAAGATTGCGTCTTTTCTTACCAGAACACACATGTCGGTGTAGTTGCCATGAGAGAATCTTTCAGGCAAACAGTTATAAAGAAGGTCCATTACATGCCAACTAGATGGACTAGAAGGAAGGCGAGACATGAGCTCAGCGTGAAGTTTGTGGAGATCTGTTTTCCTCAACAAATCAGGTAAACGGTGTTGGAGAGAATGAAGATCCACGACGCTCGGTACTTTCGTTGCTGTGTATATAGTGAGTGCCAGAAACAGGAAAAATCCAATCAAGTGCCTGCAAATCCCAAAGAAACACACACAATACATTGGAGATTTCTTGATCTTAAACAAGAAATGAATCAAGATTCAAGAAGCTTAATTCAAGACTCACGTCCAAACATTCAAGGTCTCATTGTGAATGGTAAAGATGCTGAGAAGGATCTGTTTGATCGGCCATTCGGATCGGTAATGACCAATGATGTACTCATTGTCTCTTAAATAAGCAGGCAATGAATGATACTCCACCAATTGATACTTCACTTTCTGCCATAATCTCTTCCCTTTCACATTATGTTTCTTCTCCATTGTTTCAGATGAAGCTTGAGGTTTCAAATGTTCCTTGATCTCTGCGTCCTCACCACCCATTCTTTCTCTACTCATAATCATAGAAACATATCAACCAAACAGATCTAAATCTAGCTCAAGATTTAAAATTCCAGGAAGTTAGGAATCAAAGTTTCAAATTTGAACATTTATGGTTTCTTCTCGAAAATCAAAGTATCGATTTTTATGTGCAGATTCAGCTCATTCATTACCTAAAGCATCGTGCTTTATATCAAAATAAGCTTCAATTCACAAAAGGGTTTGAGAAAATTACCTGAATTTCGAAGAAAATCAGAAAATTTGTTCTTGCGATCTCAAACCCTGTAAGATTTAAGAAATGATTAAGAGATATTTTCTTTCGATTTCGTGAATATAAGAGGAAATTAGGAGAGAAAAGGTGAGACTTTTGTTACCTGGATCTTCAATGCCGACGAGAAAGAAAAAAAACTCTCAAATTCTTTTGGAAAATCTTTAAAGAAAGAGTCAAGCAAAATAGATCTCAAGGTTTCGTTTTTGTCGAAAACAGAGAGTTCTTTGTTTTGGTATGAATTATGAAATCGATGAAAGAAGAAAAAATAGAAGACGAAGATGGAAGCTCTGAAGCCACAAACAAAGCTTTATGAATGATTTTTTTATAGTTTTTATATATTTCACATTGGGACCACTACTTTTGTTTATTATATTATAGTAGGACCCTTTTATTTTTCTTTATTTTCGTTTCGGCTAAATAATTTAATACCTAAGAGCATCAGCAGCGGCAAAACCATGAGGATAGATGTTAATAATAGATTTATTATAAAATTTATTGAAGAGAGAGGAGGAGAATTGGCAGGTGGAGAGAGAGAGAGGAGAGAGATAGAGAGAATAAATTTTTTTCTCTTTTTAAAAAGCCTCACACCCGAATGCAACTATACACTCGAGTTGTGTTGAAAATCAACTTTTTACATTATTTTTCTATTGTTTAATACTCACACCCGCCGAGTGGTTGCACCACTGCGTGTGGCCTAAGTATTTATAGCGTTTTGCTGTACGAGGAATATGGAAATACATCGAATATAGAATTTCTTTTGTCGAAAAATATTAACAAAGAAAGTATAAAATTTCCAGTTGATATAGAAAGAACTTATTTCTCCCATGAAATCAAAGAATTTTTCAAAAAAATAAAACTTATTTGATATGGGGATTTTAAATTAAGGGAAAGTTAATGTAACATACAATATGGGTTCCATGGATTTTTCTTAGTAATGATTGAAAAATTTAATTAGGTGAAAAGGAAGAAATTAAGATTTTGGCACATTTATTGCATTTACTCAATCTTTCTACTAGAAAGTGGAGATGTCTCTATTTATGTTTTTTTTTTTTTAATTTGGTTGGTTTGCGTATATTTGTATAAGAAACATTGACAACGAATTGAAATTTCAGTTCTATTTTATGTTTGGATTTCATTTTCAAGCAAAATGTATCTACAGTTAAGAATTTACTAAAGTAAAGAGTTCACATTTCACATGAGTTTTTTTTTTGTTTTGTTTGAGGCAGTTTTGGTTATTTCTTACGTAAAGTAAACAAGATAATTCGAAGTTTCGAACCATAATACGATTTTTTTAGCAATTACTAGTTTTGGTTCACTTTTAGCGTTGGAGACTTTATAGCTCTTCGTTTATGATAGCTTGTACGGATCAATAATCATGCATATTGCATACGTTCTTAAGTACTTGGGTGAAAGAAAAGAAAATAAAAACGATTTTATCGCGACATAAATAGTAACGTGAATTGGCATAAATGAAACACCTAACAGGCTAACACTAGCAGGTCGCAATCACCATGATAAAATATCTACTGCGGAGAAGTATCTTGTAGGAATATTACTCTTAATTTATTCGGATAAGCAGAAGATATTCGTTTTTTCTCTGGCTTATTCATCTTTGAAATTTTATGTCAATTTGGCTACGTAAACCAAATTGTGGCACTTGTAATTTGACACTCTTTATCAAAGTTATCACTTATCTTACTTGCCAACGAAACTAATATCAGTATTCACAACCATTAATACAAATAATCAAATCTAAGAGGAGGAAGTAACATTTTCCGGTGGAGGTTTTGGCTGAAGAACTAAAATGCTGTACAAAAAGACGTGTCTTAGTTTTGCCAAATTCTGCAAGTTTTTTTGGATTCGGTCACTATAATATACACTGTGTTTTAGGAAAAAATTAGCATAAATAAATAAGTTCAGGAATCTTTTCACATTTTTCTCTAAAAAGTGAAAACATACATACACAATTACACATTACATTAGAATCAGTTGTTTGTTCCCCTTCACCATATATAAAAAAAGGCTTGGCAAATTAAGATGGTCAATACTTAAATGGGCTTGATCTCGTATATAATCCATAACATTCCTTAAAAGCCCACTCTGATGAGTGCGACTTTGAAACTCCGATGCAAACCGAGATTGAAAATAGTTCGGGAGAGAATAACCGGAACGGTTAGACCATCTTCGATTTATTGACCGAACCGAACAACTTTGACTCCTCGTGGGGACACACACAACTTACTTAATCTTGTAACGACCAGACAATTCAAAGACAAAGAGTGCCGTCAAATCGAGATGAAGAAAATTAGGAAAAAATAAACAATACTAAATAAAAACCCTACCGACTGTGGGTCCCACTACGGCACTCCTGCCGCCTTCTCCGACTGTAATCCGCCGTCACCTGCCGGTTTTATTAAAATTAGGAATTTATTTGAATTATTTTTCTCACCCGAAGTCTAAGGATGATGGAGCAAGGAGCTTTGGTGGGTTCTTCTTCTTCAAGCTGCTATGTTCCTTTCCAATTTCGACAATCAAAGACGTTTTTTTCGTCATTCAAGCCAAAAAATAAGCTAAACCCTAGTCAATTCCGGTTTAACTGTCCATGGTTTAAGTCGGTTAGTTCTGTAACGGCGGCGAAATGCAATATGTTTGACTACGCGGTGAGTGCAGGCGGCGATGTGGAGGCTGAGCATCCGGTAGACGACAAACAGTTTGTGCGTTGGTTTCGTGAAGCCTGGCCTTATCTGTGGGCTCACCGTGGCTGCACATTCGTCGTTATTATCTCCGGCGAGATCATCGCCGGTTCTTCTTGTGATCCCATTTTGAAGGTACTGTCTTTTTTCACCCTCTTCATATACTTTGATTTATGAGAAAGAAGCACGCAAGGTGTTCGATTGTTTGCCTCAACTAAAGTTCTTATTTGCTATGTTATGATCTTTTCTTTGCAATGTGCTTGAGTTTTCAGCTCTCGTATTTGAGTAGAAGGTGAAGTGATTTGATATATATGCAGGACATAGCGTTTCTTCATCATCTAGGAATAAGGTTTGTTTTAGTTCCTGGAACTCAAGAGCAAATCGACGAGCTTCTGTCTGAGAGAGGTAAGAAAATTATAAGCTTTGTCACGATGTTAGATTCTAGACTATAAAACTTGCTAGTGGCAAGTAATTGTTTCATCAGCTACGAGTCTAATGGTGTGTGAGTTGCAGGACGCGAGGCTACGTATGTGGGACGTTACAGAGTAACGGATGCAGCATCTTTGCAGGCTGCCAAAGAAGCTGCAGGAGCAATATCAGTGATGCTTGAGGCCAAACTATCTCCTGGACCTTCCATTTGCAATATCCGTAGACACGGTGATCGTAGTCGTTTACATGATATAGGTGTTAGGGTTGATACCGGTAACTTCTTTGCAGCAAATGTGAGGTTTTCCACTTTCTTGATTGTTATCATCATATTCGTTCTGTATACCGATTATCTTGGGTCTTGTTGTGGCAGAGAAGAGGTGTTGTTGATGGTGTTGATTTTGGAGCGACAGGTGAAGTGAAGAAGATAGATGTAGAACGGATTTGTGAGAGGCTTGACGGTGGTTCTGTAGTTTTGTTGAGGAACTTGGGCCACTCTAGCTCCGGAGAAGTCTTAAATTGCAAGTATGCGCACTCTTCTTCTAAGAGAAATGCTTTATTTTACCTTTAAAAGATTGCATTTTTCTCACACTACTTTAATTTTGCAGTACCTATGAGGTAGCTACAGCTTGTGCTTTAGCTATAGGAGCAGATAAGCTTATTTGCATAATGGACGGTCCAATTCTTGATGAGAGTGGACATCTTATTCGTTTCTTGACCCTTCAAGAAGCAGATATGTTAGTGAGAAAACGTGCTCAACAAAGTGACATAGCTGCAAATTACGTGAAGGCTGTTGGAGATGGAAGTATTGCTTATACCGAACCTCCTAACAACACCAATAGTAAGATTCCTTCTCATCAAAACGGGAGAACAACATATTGGGGAAACGGAAACGGACCCCATACTCCTATCTTTCAGAACGGTGTTGGATTTGACAACGGAAACGGATTGTGGTCTGGTGAGCAAGGTTTTGCTATTGGTGGTGAGGAAAGATTAAGCCGCTTAAACGGTTATCTTTCTGAATTGGCTGCTGCGGCGTTCGTCTGCAGAGTGAGTGTTTTTTAAATCTTGGTCTTGATTCTATTTGCTACCACTAAACTGAAATCATTTGTTTTGCTTCCCTTATGAAGGGTGGAGTCAAAAGAGTTCACTTGTTGGATGGTACGATAAGTGGAGTCCTATTGTTGGAGCTTTTCAAAAGAGATGGAATGGGAACTATGGTTGCTAGGTACATTCATTCTTTTTGTCTTCACTCGCATATACTCCTGGTTTTTTAGTGTTCTTACAATTCTATATTGCCATTACGCGCAGTGATGTTTACGAAGGAACCCGAGATGCCAGAGTGGAAGATCTTGAAGGAATTAGACATATAATCAAACCCTTGGAGGAATCGGGGATTTTAGTTCGCAGAACTGATGAGGAGGTTTTTAAGCCTTACTATCTTCCACACCTAATTGTTTCATCGGTTTAAAATGCTATGAAACGTTTGATCTTTTAAGTGCAGTTACTGCGAGCCTTGGATTCATTTGTGGTGGTGGAAAGGGAAGGTCAGATCATCGCTTGTGCAGCTTTGTTTCCGTTCTTTCAAGACAAATGCGGAGAAGTTGCAGCAATCGCGGTTGCATCAGATTGTCGCGGTCAAGGCCAAGGAGATAAATTGCTCGGTAAATAAACTCAGACCCTTTCTGTTATGTTTGCAAAAGCTATAAAACCTCAATGCAACAACACAATCTGTTTCTGCAGATTACATAGAGAAGAAAGCTTCATCTCTCGGGTTAGAAAAGCTGTTCCTACTCACAACCCGAACAGCGGATTGGTTCGTGAGACGCGGGTTCCAAGAATGCTCAATCGAGATCATACCAGAGAGTAGAAGACAAAGAATCAATCTATCTAGAAAATCAAAGTATTACACGAAGAAACTTCTACCTGATAGAAGTGGCATTTCAGTTCTCAGGATATAAGCAAGAAGATGACACATCAAGCAAAACACAGAACCATATTGTAAAATCAATATTCATCATTCTCAAATACTTTCAAGATTGTTTGATTTCGAAAAATTCAAATACTTATTTTGATCTCAATCCCAGTTTCATTCCAAAGCTACAATAGCACCAACCGCTTTGAGTTTCTCCATGATCTTCTCAGCCTCTTCTTTAGTAAGACCTTTCTTCACAATCACTGGAGCTTTCTCAACCAATTCCTTAGCTTCTTTCAATCCCAGATCCGTGAACGCTCTGATCTCTTTTATCACTTTGATCTTCGAAGCCGTTTCGAATTTCTCAAGCTTCACATCGAAAGCAGTCTTCTCCGTCGTTTTGGTCTCCGTAGAACCTGATGCCTCGCCGTCAGATCCGGCAACAGCTACGGCGGAACCGTAGCGATTGAGACCGAGTTTATGGCTGAAGAGGATTGAGTAATCGTAAAGCTCAATCCGATTCAGTTTGAGTAAATCGTCGGCGATTCGCTCGAGTTTCTTCGTTCGAGCTTCGGGAGAAGCGACGGCGCATAGGTGGCGAGTAGCGGTGGTTAGAGGCGTCGTACGGTGGAGGTAACCGAGGGATCTCGAGAGAAATCCGGAGATCGGAGCTCGCATTTTTCGCCGGTGAATGGAGGTTTTTGTTAGGGTTTTTCGCCGTCCGTTCAATTTCATTTCATTTTGCCGTTACTTTTTGCTCGTCAAATCGAATGGGCCTAGTTGGACCCATATAATAAGGCCCATGTAGAAAACAACTATGCACCAAACAAAACCAAACCAATTAAAAAAGCTGAAAAGTAAATATTAAAAATAAAATAAAAAAAAGTTTTGATTAGTAGACCAAAAGACTACTTTAGTAGCTAATGAAGTCATATTTTCCTGTTTGAACTCGACATCAAACTGACAAACAAATAGAACATCATGTTTATTTGTGGTAATTTTTAATAATCAATGTATTTAATGCCACAGTATATTCTGTGTTTTATCATTTTTATTCATGTTTAATTTTTTTTTGGGTAGATCAAAAGACTACTTTAGCTATTTCTTTCTATCATATTCATTCTACAAAGCTCATTTATTTTAACTAGGGAAATGAGATACTTATTTTCATTTCTCTATATACAAATTTTGTTTTTATTTCTTACAACATTCAATTGTTTATAGGATTAAAAATTAGAGATATTCCCTACGAATTTAGGCATTTTGTAGTTAGATGTGTGTAATGGTCAAGTCGTGGTACACAGGGGACCCAACAAGGTTTTTGATTCTAGTTAAAGCAAAATTGGGCCAACCAATAGACTTTTAATTTACTAATTTGCTTTTTGCATGACTTTATAAACAAGAAAACAGACCAAAAGAAGATAAATTTTATAAAAAGATTAGCTTAAAAAGCGAAGCTAAAAAGATCGTACCGATATTAACATGGGGGAGGCAAAAGCCTCATCAAAAGATGCAGGGAGAGAGGACTTGTAGTGAAACCAGCCACATATCTCAAAAGCAGTTCCCACTACTTTTTTCATATTTATAATTCAAAAAGCAATACTATATAAACGTTAGTATCAATGGATTTAACTATTTATTTCAATTATTTACTTTTTATGGGCTGTTTTCTAAATAAAAACATGATGGGTAAGCGGGGCCATGAACATTCGTAGGTATATGCATGTGTAATCCATTGAAGACATAATATATGTATACATTTTATATGTATGAATCAAATAAAAGACTGGTCCCTTTATCTCTTTTATAAAGCAAAAGGTGAAAGAGCCATTATTAAAAAAAAAGGTAAAATATATATTAATGGTATATATACTTCACAAGAACGACAAATGAATAAGTATAATGTTGTGAAATTAATTTTCGTGTAGAAAACGCTGAGTTTTTTTTTTTTTTTTTTTTTTTGCTTTTACAATGACTAATTGACTACCACATATCAGAAATGAAACTGTGAATAAGTATAAATTGTTGCCTCATAACATTGATCCTTGGTTAGCCTAAACCGTTGTCAATAAATTCCCAACACTACACAGATGATGCATTGCATGCAGTTGACAAAGTGCTTTTAAGGTCTAATCGTACATTCCAATGTTCTAATATGATCACGTAGAAATTCGCAAATAAAATTATGGCAAAGTTACATATAAGCTTCTTTGTGTGATAGTCATGTTCACCTCTATGTTAATCGCACGCTACATAGATAGATTGATTAATATGAATGATCAAAAACATGTTAATATACATTTCAGAAGCGTGTGCAAGCCACTAGAGGTGCATTCACGAGATTCCAACGAAGAGATTCCCCAACCAAAGTAGCTGTCCTAAGATTCTATTTATATATTCAAGAACCAAGATCAAGTGTGAAGTAGTGAACATGCTTTTATTAGAAACATGGAATAATTATATTAAAATAAAATAAAACATGGAATAATTATATAACTGAATCAGTATTAGATGTTGTTGAATTTGAGAGTTATTGCTAGTCTTATTCATTTATACTCTATTTGTTATACCATTATGAATTCCAGTTCAACGATCATCCAATGTAACACTAACTAATTTACATGATATGCTCACGTATCTAGAAGAAAATCACATGTAACGAAGAACAATGAATTCATTATAGAAGAAAATGAACCCTATTCTTTCGGATAAACAAAAGTAATCACAAATTTCATCATTCCAAAATAAATACCAAAAACAAAACAAAAAATCACGAACTGTATGAACCTTGATACCCTCCTCAATGATCATAATTACTTAATTAGTCCTATTCCAAAAGCCAAATTCAAATTATGAACTGCATCATCACCATAATCGTAACTCTCTCAATCTCAAAACCCATCATGAACCATCACCACACGTGTGACCATCTCAAGTAAAAAAGCGAGCGTGCGATTTTTTTATGACAAAAAAAACAACCCTTTACGCTGGCCGCCACGCACTAGCCCAAACCACCGGCTGATCTCTCCAACAAAGGAATATTCCGGCGGCATCAGGACACTGTACCATCGACCAAACACCTTCTTTATACCTCCTCAACAAAGCTCTGACGTCATCCGCCACCTCATCACTATACCCGACGGCTCCAAAACCACCGTTCCTCATCCTCCTCGACCACTTCCTCGCCGTCTCTCTCCTCTCCGTCGAATCCGACGGCTCACAAGCCACAAGATCAACGATCGCACGTCCCGCCGCACGCTCTAGCATCAACCTCTCGTTGCTTGTCCTCGGAAAACTCTCTTCCCATGACTCGAAGCAAACCCTAAACCATCGTAAACATTCTCCAAACCCTCTCAAGAACTCATCATCAAAGCCACCTTCTTCTTCTCCGACAAGATCAGCTTCTTCTTCTACAACCGTCACAATCCTCGGTCTTAACCTTCTGAAACTCGATATCACAGCGTCTCTAGGGCTTCCACGTGGAGCGATCCCATGCATCGCGCCTACGCAGTTGATGGCCAAGACTTCGTCTGGTTTAATATCTAGCTCGTTGAGATCAAACTCAGACAAATCTCCAACGTGATGAATAATGTTGAATTTAAAAGGAACTCCCATAAGCCTAGCGAATTTCTCCATTCGGTTTCCGATCTCTTTCATCATCCGATGCGACGCCGTTTGATCGTTGACAAACTTGTTGGCCACGACTACTGTGGTTAGCCTTAGGTGAGGCGTGTCGTCTGATCTCGTGGCTAAAGCTTCTAGAAGAGTCGGCCATTGAGTGCAAAACGTTGAGCTTATGTCAACGATATGGATCTTTGCCTCTCCGTCTACTGCTTCCAAGATTGCTCCGTTTGCCGCCACGTGTCCAAACGTGGCCCAGGGGCTAACTTCTTGGAACTTGAGAACAGTTTTGCGCGTTGACTCGAAAGAGCAAGTCTTCTCTGTGGCTGCAGCTGTTACCATGGTTCTGTAGCATCGTTCACCTGAACCGGTCATGCGGTTGAAGAGAGCTTGGAGGAAGTAAGAAGCCAGTTTCTGCTCGGTGTCTCCGTACGGAGAAGAGAGCTCGTTAAGCGTCCATAGGATTTGTTGCGCACGTGCGGTGTCTTTGTCGGAGAAGGCACGTGCCGCTTCAAGAAGGACCGAGTCTGCCCACTTTGCATTGGCTGAGAAGTCGAAGGACGGAGGAGTTTGAGGGATGGTGAAAGCGGAAGGGTCATTGTGGTGGCCGGAGGAAGAGTACGGCGAGGTTAAAGCTGCGGCTGCGGCGGTGGAGGAAGGGGTTGATGACGTGGCAGGATGGTATTGGGTGGGAGTAGTGAAAGGAGAGTAGTAAGTATTAGGATTGTTGTGGTTGTGATGGTTGTGGTGAGAAGAAGAAGAGGAAAGGTCTTCTTCATCCATGAAAAAGTTGAAGCATTCTTCGACGACGTCGTTTTGTGGAAAGTTGTAGTGATAAGCAGTTTGTGGAGAGCCAGTAGTGGTGGTGGAGGTTCTGCTTAACGAAGATTGATTTGTAATGATACTATCGGATTGTTGTTGTTGTTGGAGACTGACTAGTCTAAAGAGAGTATCCATTTTTTTTTTCCTTTAATGAATAAGAAAATGAATAGAGGAAGGGAGACCCACAATATCTAAGATTTAATACTTTGTTGTGTATATTGCATCAGCATCATGTGTTGTCTTGTATATTTATATATGTATTTTTTTTTTCTTATGTTTCTCGGTGGGAGTGGGTAAATCTAGATGAAGGTGAGTTGTAGAGAATGGGTTTGGTGGATTTGTGAGTTTTTATTAGTAATTTAAAAGACAAAAGAAGAGCATGAAAAGAGGATTTTTGCATCGAATTGTTGTCCCATGTTTATCTTTTGGAATTAGTAGACTGTTTGAATCTAATTGGGTTTAGTGAAAACATAATTAGAGAGAGAAGAGACCGCTTTTGAACAATATTCTCCTCTCTTTCTCTTTTTTTTGGGGCAAATTAAGAATGTATTTTGTTTTTACTATAACCCTAGTCCCTAGCTAACTGAAATTTATTTGGACATAGTGATCCTACTTTTTGCAGTATTGAAAATTTTCATTGAACTAAAAAAATTACAAAGTAAATATATTTTCTAGTTACAAATTATAAAATATAAACAATAGCTTATATTTTTGCTTATTTACATGAAAGTGTATTAGTTAGATAGTTTGGAGGTTTCATTAAGTAGAAAAAAGTCCTGACAAAAAGAAGATGAGAAAAATAAAATAAAGAAGAAAAAGATAAGAAGGTCGATATCATGTAATGGCTTAGTGGGTTTCGCTTTTCCATCTTTCTCACATCGATCCACCCGAGTAACCTTCTCTCTTATTTCTTCTTCTAATTAAATTTATAATACATATCTCTCTCATGCAATATTGTAGGAGTACCACTTACGTGGATCCTTCATCATATGAATTTGAAAACGACATGCATGTTATATATATGTGGGGTAAAATTTCGAACAAAGCCGTAAATAATTACGATGTTTGTTTATATATAGGCCAAATACATGAAACCAAGTTTTCAAGTACTATCCCAACTAGTGTAAAATAAAAAGACTCTTTAGGCATCCTAAATCTACAGACTAAAAAAAAAGTTAGGAACCATGTCCTACTAATACCAATTATAACCAATCAAAACACCAACTCATGAAGTTTTTAGACAATCTGCGACTACGTTACTAATCATTATCAACAGTG